CTCCCTTCCTCAAAGGGAGACCCTGACCCTACTGAGCTCCCAGAAGATGGGGGCTTTCCCCACAAAGCTGAGGAGCCCAGGCTCCAATGAAAGTCACTTTACTCTCCTGCCAGACATAAGCCATCCTGGCACACAGGCCAATCTGACTCCAGGACTCCTACAGGGATTTTGTCTGGACTTCCAGTTGGATTCGAGCTGAAGTGCCCTATGGCAATACTGCACCCCAAAGATTTGTCCAGAGGTCCTTTCACACTCATGGTGGAGACAAGGATCCCTCCTGTGTCTCTGCACTATAGGGCACCCTGATTTCCCCAGGGGATCCTACCCATGTCAAGAGCAGTTCAAATGGAGTTTTAAACCTACCAGATGATAGGACAAGCTGGCTCAGTTCAAAAAAGAAAGAAAATAAGGTCAGATGAGCTTTAATCACCGGCTCCCCAAAGAGGGGAAGCCATCAGCAGTCCTTGGAATGAGACCCTCAACACTTGTGGCCCTGATAAGTTCGAGGGGAGCCCCCTCGAGTTCTCCCGCCAGGGGTGCTCTTTGGCCCCTTTGCTTGCGGAAGACATGAAGGCTCCTCAGTCCTGAGGTCCACCAAAAAGTGCTCGGTAGGAGGGAGCAAAAGATGGACTCAGCACACAATCCGGGCCGGCTATGGACAGGTCATTTACTTCTACATACAAAAGGAATGCTGGGCGTGAAAGAATCTCAGGGCGGATTAACAGATCGGTTAGCACAGACTCCAGCAACTCATAGCGATTCTTCGAATCGTCTGGGAGGCTGACACTGAAACCTCCTCAAACCGTAAAGCCGTTTTGCAAGACTGCTAAGCGGTCGCTTTACGTTACATCTCCGCCAACGACGCGCTGCAGGGACCCCCCCCCCCTCCATTCAGGGGGTGCTGCTTCTGACCTCACAGACCTCCAGGCCTTTGCAATCAACCAACCAACACGTATTAAGCCCGCTTGTCAAAGTCCGGCCTACTGGCCAGAGAGAGTCTTCATCCTCTCAAAGCGCTGGTCGGTGAGCCCGGGAGTCACACCTGGGTACAAGCTGTCCAAACCCCGCCACCCCCACCTTCCCCCACACACCTTCTACGCGGTCACGGGAACCGGGAATGGCGACCGGGCATGCGGGGGGCCCCACTGTGGACATGAGGCAGGGCCGCTGAAACAAAGCTGCAGGAGAGGTTGCTTGGTGTGAGAAGAGAAGGCTAAGGAGCCGCCAGTCTGCCGTCATCGGGGTTCGTACAAACAAAACGCTGGTCAACTGTACTTAGCAGAAGAGGAGGGAGCAAGACAGTCCCAGCATGCAGCGGTGCTCTGGGGTCGGAAGATCTGAGTTCAAATGCTGTTTCTGATACTCGCTACACAGGTGACCCTAGGCAAATCACTTGAGCGCCTCAGGCCTCTGTTTCCTCTTCCGTAAAATGAGCGGAGCTGGTTCCGAGGTCCCTCCCAGCTCCCCATCTACGAGTCTTCGACTCCCGCCAACTAAGGAACTGGTCCAGCTTTCTGGGCAGTGATTCCTCTTTGCCGAAGAAACTTCCGAGGAAGCTTGTGCCAGTGCACACGGGGACACCTGGTGATGGCCACTGGGTCTCTTTTCCCTTCTGTCATGATTGGTCCCCGGTACCTCCCAGGTTCGGTCCGGTGCCCCCTCATCCATCAGCTGCAGAGAGCCCGGGGTCACGACGCATTGGACTCTGGGCACGGGAAGGACAAAAAGGGGCCTAAAGAGCCCGCAGCGGGCAGGTTTTCTGGTCAGAGGCGTGGGTTGCCTCCCGAGCAGGAGCCCCCATGTGAGCCCCACCCCCACCCCAAGCGGGGCGACTTCCTCTCCTTCCAGTGAGCGGAACGTGAGGGTCAGGGCTTCTCTGTCCGGCCTGTGCCAGGGGTCCGGCTGGCTTTCAGATTTGCCCACCGAGTCAAGATGCCCTCCTCTTGCCCCCTTTGTCACCCAGGGCACTTACCGCCTTCTGATTTTTTTTTCTGGGGGTGTCTGCCTGCTAGACTCTGTACCAGGTTGGCACAGTGAAACACCGGCCGTCCGCTTTGCCCTAACGAGCCTAAAGGGTGACTGGAAAGCAGCAGGCTATTTCTATTAGGGAACGTCAACCCCACACACCTCCTCTTTCTCCCTATCTCTCTCTCACCTCTGTCTTTGTGTCTCTCCCTGTCTCTGTCTCTCTACCACTTCTCTGTCTCTCACTTCTCTGTCTCTCTCCCTCTCCCTCTTTCTCCCTGTCTTTGTGTCTCTCCCACTTCTCTCTCTCTGTCTCTGTCTCTCCCCATTCAGTTCTGATTTTTTCTTCCCACGCGCCTTGTCGTGGTCATCATGTTTCCCTCGGTTCCCTGGTTCTGCTGCTGCCTTCATGTCACCTCAGTCCTCGCTGGTCTTCCCTGAATACATTTACATAATTTCTTACAACTCGGCAGCTTCTCTCCCTCCCCCTCCACACAGGTGGCAGTCCTGCGCTGTGGGCATCTTCTTTGTTTCGTCTGTGAAGGGAATTAGGATTTTCACAATAATCTACATGATACATGTAACGAATACGCTCATAATTTAGTTTTCTCAAGAATTGCCTCTTCCAGCTTTGAGTCAGACTCACAAGCGGCTTGAACTGATCGGTCAAACCCTGACAAGGCTCACAATCACTGCTCCCCTATGCCTGCGGACCCGGAGTGAAGCGAGTCAACGACTGCAGAACCTGTTCGCGTCCCTGAAGTCTGGTCCGAGCCCCCCTCCCCATCTCCCCCCCCCACCCCTGTAACGAGCAGCACTGTTACCCACGGGACTCAGAGCTGCTGTATCATTCTCCATTGGTGGGTTTGTCTGGGAAACCCCTCTACCCCTGGGGACGACTGTCTGTGATCCACCTTCCCCCCCTCCCTTCCCGTTGTGATGTATGTGTGTAATCTCTGTCTGCACTTCGGAATGATCCCTGGCGGCCAATCTACTTCTGCTAAGGAAGCTAATTAACGGAAGGCTGCCCGATTCCCGGCGCTGTCTCGGCTTCGTCCTCATGGGGTTAGAGACTGGCCCAGCCCAGCCCGGTCCAGGCGTCTCCCCAACACTGGCACCGGGCTCTGGGCTCCCCTCCTTTTTTCTTTCTTTATTTTCCCCTCCCCTTTTCTTTCTTTTTTATTTTTCCCCTCCCTTTTTCTTTTTTATTTTCTCCCCTTCCTTTTTCTAACCACACATTCAAACTGCTTGTAGACACCTGGGCTGATTCGTGGGAAGGAAGGGACGAGCATTTTTTTTTAACACGTCAGGTCCTATATCCATGTCACCACAACAGCCCCAGGAGGTAGGTACTGGAAACTGAGGCAGTCAGTGGTTAAGTGACCTGCCCAGGTTCACAGAGCTAGGAAGTGTCTGAGGCTGGATTTGAACTCAGGTCCACCTGACTCCAGGCGGGGCTGTCAGTCCCTTGATTGCAGGTGCACCCACAGGGTATCAGTTTGCTTGCTTGTTTTTTAAGTCTTCTCCCCTTAGGAGCTGGAGACGGACAGCTAACCCTGGGACCTGCCCGCCACCCGACTGTCACCTCTCTGGGCCGCCTCAGTTTCCCCATTTGCACAACAAGCATCTGTAAAGGGCTGTTCCGGCGGGAATCTGGGGCGGTGGGTGGTAACCAGGCAGTGGCGAGGCCCCGCCTTCATCCTGGGCGGGGCCGGAACCTTCGGCTCGTGAGAGCGGACCGAGGAGCGGGGGCTGCTGGGAAGAAGGTCGCGCGCTACGTGGAAACCGGAAGAACCCGCTCACCGCGGAAACCGGAGGAACCCGCTCACCGCTTCTGATTGGTCGGCGCAGTCCTCGCTTCCTGTTTTCCTGGCGCGCACGGAAGTGCGCCGGGCCAGTCTGTGCCCCACCCTGACTTGGCGTGACTGACGTAACGTGACGTGCTTGACGTGATGGTGTGCCCAGCGGGCCGTGCGCGCTCAGGCTCCTCTTAATAAAAGGCTTTGTTCTGTGAAGTTCAAGTTTAGTCAGAGGGCCGCACTTGAGGACTTGGGGGATGACATGTGGCCTCGAGGCCTCAGGTTTCCCACCCCTGGGCTAGAACAGTGGTTTGTATGGAAAAGATCTGGGGGTAGGGGTGGACCACAAGCTCACTATGAGTAGTGTGAAGTACCAGCCCAAAGAACCACTGCTCTCTGCCCCGATGGTGGGAGCCCCGAGGGCGGCCAGGAGGGCGGAGGGCCTGGAGGCTGTGCCACATGAGGACCAGGCCAGAAGGGAGACCTTGTGAGGGGGGGTCTTCGTGCCCCTCCAAGAAGGAACGGACCCATTCTTCAGGCTGCAGAGCAAAGCCAGGAGTCACGAGGTTGCCGGAGACCGCCCTGTGCTGGGAAACATGCTAACATGTCTGTGAAGCGGGCCGCTCCAGCCATGTCTGCATGTGCCCAGGCCGTGGGTTTGGCTGTCGTGGGCATGGCGTGCCACCACTGTGGCTGTGGGCTCTGCAATCGTGGCGGTGGGCTCCACCATTGTGGCTGGGGGCTCCGCTGTCAAGGGCATGGTGTGCCACACTGTGGCTGTGGGCTCCCCCATCAGGGCCATGGGCTTTGTTCCCAAACCTGAGCATGGGAGCGTCCTCAGACAAATGAGTGCTGGTCCTTCCCACTAGGCCACGGAAAAAGCCTTCTCATTGATAGGTCGGGCCTTGAATTCCAGTGCCCACCTGAGCTCGCTGGCTCTCTCTCTCTCTCTCTTTCTCTCTCTCTCTCTCTCTCTCTCTCTCTCTCTCTCTCACTCTCTCTCTCCCCCCCTCTTCCTTTCTCTCCTGTCTCTTCCCTCCTCTCTCTCTCCCTCCCTCCCTCCTTCCCCTTTTCTTCTCTCTCTCTCTCTCTCTCTCTCTCTCTCTCTCTCTCTCTCTCTCTCTGTCTCTCTCTCTCTCTCTCTCTCCCTTCTCTCTGTCTCTGTCTCTCTCTCTCTCTCACACACACACACACACGCATAGGCACAGGTTGGGGAGAGATTAGGAGACATTGGTGTTTGCATATTTACATTTTAATAAGTATGTACAGGTTTCCATGCCATCTGGCCACAATTCTCCAAATACACATATAGTCCATTTCCCCCAGCTCCTTCCAAGGCTGGCTCCAAATGGAGGCCCTGTGGAAAGTGGCCCCCAATGAGCACTTCTGATCCCTCCTTCCCCAGGCAGCCCTTTCGAGATCTCAGGACAAGTCAGATATCTGAGTGGGCTTCACCCCAGTCGCTCAGGCTGGCTCCGGAGGGATTCCCAGTGTGTGCCTGGGGAGCCATGGAATCCAGCCAAAACCCTGCCCAAGAGCCCTGCATGAGGTCAGAGCTTGTGTGTGTGCCTAGGTGAGGTGGTCAGCAGGCCCCAGCACTGAGAACCAGGGACACCCGTTAAAAGCGTCAAGGGCTAGCAGCTGAGGCAGGGCAAAGACGAGAAGGTGTTCAGATGAGGAAAGGGCATGGGAGGAACCCTCAGGTGAGGAGGGGGATGGGGGAAAGGAGCTCCTGGAACTCGCTCAGGGTCCATGGGACCAGACCCTGCTTTGTGGGTCACTCAGGTCTGCTTGGCCACTGAGTCAGGGGGCGTAGATGCCCCTGTGGGTCCAGCCCACAAGGTGGAGGCCTTGCTGGGCACCTGGGCTCACAAACATGGAAATCTTTCCTAACCAACCAGGCTGCCTTCCTCTACATGGCTCTTGGGAGCAGGGGACAAAGGGAGCCAGGTCCTCCCCAAACTCACCCATAAGCAAGTACCAGAGGACAGTGCCCCCTGGGCTCCCAGATGTGGCCTCCTCGGGCCTCTCATGGGTGCGTGCTCTGCTTCCCACCCATGTGGCTCTCTCCGAGAAGCCTGTTTCCTCAGCTGTGACAGGCCTTGGGACTGTACAGAGGTCTCTGTCCTCTTAAGGAGCTCCCATCTGAGGTTTCTCTTCTATCTCACCCTCCACCTCTTGAGAGTGAATAGAGAGGCTGATATATGAGAAGATCTACATTATAATACACGTCATGCATAGAGCGTGCACACGTGTGGAAACAGGTGTGAGGAGAAAGCATGTGTGCCTGTTTGGGGAGCCCTTGGGCTTCAGTCCTCCTTGTTTTCAACCTCACGGATCCCACAGGAGTTTCCTTTGAACTCCCTGGTTTCTGAATGTGCTGTACTTGGAAGGACAGAAACGTGTAGATGAGCGTGTTTTCTAGGCATTGGGTGGCAGAACGTTCCCGTTTTAAACTCGCTCTTGTGTCTGGCAGGAGTCAGGGCTTTGCAAGCTTGGTGGTCTCTGGGTGTTGGCCTGGGGGCTCCCCCTAGGGTGGGGCCCTGGCACATCTCCCACTGGGGCCCTCAGGCCCCAACAACTGGTGCTCTTGACCTAATGAACAGCACTTAAACAAGAAGCTTAGACACTGACACTCTTCTTAGCACCCCAAATCAAGCAGCATCTGCATAGAAGTGGCCTGAGTGCAGAAGAGACAGCCTGCCAGGGGCCCACAGCTCAGCTCTGGGGCTGCACAGGGAGGGTTGGCTGGCTGAAGGAGGCCCGACATTCAGTTTCCTGGTTTACCACAGCAACAGCAAGAAGTGCCCTGGGGGCCTCATGTGGTGTCCTTTAACGTTTGGTCCAATTGAGTACAAAACTTGGCCGTCCGGTAACCTCGGGCCCCGAGGTGAGAGAGAGGCCCTTCCTGAGTGGCTGTACTGACCCAAGCCCACAGAAGATCCAGGCCACTCAACCCCAGTCAGCTTTTTCTTTCCTGATATTCTATCTCACACTGCTTTTGTTCAGAACGGGTGTCTCCAAGTCAGCTCAGTGGCTGACTTGCACTGGGGACATTTGGAACTTGTAGGACCAAATGGTACCAGGAGGGCAGGGAAGCAACAGACTGGTAATTCTCAAGTTTTAAAGATTTGGGGAAAGGGTTCTACTTCCAGTTATTCCAGAGGACTCAGCCCAGCCCTCAGCGGGCCTTCCCAAATCTCCTGTCCTCTACTCAAGAACAGCCAGGGTATTGTCCTACACCATCGCTTACTAATTCCCCCAGGTCAGGGGGGTGTTACCACGCCCACATCAGGCTCCTGGGGGTCGAGGTTGCTGTAGAGCACAGCCTTCTGCCAAGCGCTGTTTCCTGCAGCGCAGGCTTTGGACAGTAACAAAAGAGAGGAGTGGAGGGTGGTAACGGGCTAGGTGGGTAGAGGATCACTCCCCGTTGTAAACATAGGGCCCTTCTGGATGTTTTTGGGGGAAGGGGGGATAGGGGAGAGGTCATCGTTAATATCTACACCGTCAGCAGCTTCCTCATTCTAGTCACATTCCGCTAGATAGGCCGTGAGACTGAAGCTGTGGGAACCCCACATAATTCTCTCCTCCTCTCCCACATTCTAGGTCCCACCCACCACTGCTGGGGTGGGGGAAAGCTCCGTTTCCCCTAGAATTCTAAATTAAACACATTCATCAGTCAAGATGTTGAAGGCTGTAGGGGCTCAAGCACGATGGAGATGAGGCCCAGGCTCCGGGGCTGGGGAAGGCCAGCAGGACAGGATTTCGGCCCATGCGTCGCTGTAAACAATGTCCCCAAAGCTCCCTGGCCAGCCAGCACCTGCTCCTCCCCTCCCCCCTCCCCCTACGTGTCCCTTCTCTTCCCCTTTGGGGGAGGGTGTTTCACAACCTTTATGGGGGTGGGTGCATGATCCCAGGATGAGAGGTGACAGCAGCAGTGCAAGGACCCCCGAGGGGGCTGTGGGGGGCTCAGGAGGCAGGCTGGTCCTCATGGGGGTCAGGCACATCTTTGTTACACTCTTCTTTCCTGCATTGTGGGAAGGGAGCCTGTCAGCACCAGAGATGAGGACAGTGACTGCCACCTCCCTGGCTAAATCTGGGCAATTTCCTCCTCCCCAAAACAATTAGCAAAACCAGCCCTGGGGCTCTGCTCCTGTCATACTTACTAATGTATTATAAATAATACCCCTGACCTTGAGGACTGGGCTTCTGGATAATATTGCCTGAGAGGAGGAAACTTAAGAGTGGGTTCAGGTATGGGAAGGGCCATCTCATGGATGAAGGTTCAGCCAGATTCAGTTTGTCCCCTTGGTGGGGGGGATGCAAAGAACCTAATTTGGGCTGGACATCTCCCAGAGTGAAGAGGGCTGCCTGGGAGAGACAGGATAGGACTCCTCCCAGAGTGAAGAGGGCTGCCTGGGGGACAGGATTCCTTGGAGGCCCCTCCTTATATGAGTTGAGGCAGTCTCTGAGCAGTTTTCACCCGTGATCCTAGCTCTGCACCCTGGAGCCAAGTAGGAAAGGGGTAATCAGAGTACTGCACTGTTGGGAGGGGCCCCAAGACCATCCAGGCCAAGCTGTCCTGAAGCCAAAAGCCCATTACAACCTCCTGGACCAGGAGTGGTCTAGTCTTTGCTTAAGGCCCTCGGTGAGGGGGGCCCACTGGCTCCTGAGGCAACCCTCTCCACACAGGGACACCTGCAGTTGTCAGGCAGCCCAGGTCTGCCTCTCCTGGTGCTCAGAGGTCTGCCCTTGGAGAACAGGCAGGACAGGATGAGTCCTGTGTGGACGACAGCCTTCCAGATGCTTGGAGATGCCAGTCAGGTCTCTCCAGAGAGAAATGCCCTTGGCTTCCCCAGTTCATCCTCCCATGGCATGGATACCAGGCTTGCCCCTCCTGGCTGCCTCCTCTGAACACTTCCCAGCCAGTCCATGGCCTTCCTAAACTGTGGCACTCACAAGTGAGATAGCTCCTCAGATGGGGCGGAACCCCAGAGAGGGGACAGGCCATACTTCTTGGGTAGACAGGCAGGGTTGGGGCTTTTTTTTTTTTTGCTGGGTGGGGAGGTGTTCATAGCTGAGGGTTGGAGAGCGCTTACAGTTATGATAAGGTCACTTCTAACTGTGAACCTGGGAGCTACAGAGCTCTTATCCTCTCTCCTTCCCTAACCCCCAGAGCCATGAGTGCATAGAAAGCTCTAGCAGAGGTTACTGGCCAGGAAATAATCCACTTTATTAAACGGGGCAGCTGAAAGCCAGTGACAGTGTTTCTGAAGAGGCTGCAGGGACCTAAAGACATTGTATCTATTGGAGAGGAGAGGGCAAAGGACCTGCAGTGAGTGAGAGCGAGCCCAGGGCAGGGAGGAGGAAGCACAGGGTTGGGGGGGGGGAAGCCAAGGGCAGGGGTGGGAGGGGAAAAGCAGCTTGCCTACTCCCTCTCCCGGCTCTGAGCCCCTTCTCCCTCTGCTTCCCTTTACCAAGTGGACGATGAAATCCTATCAGGACTCTGGCTGATGCACATTGTACTCTCACCCTTACTGACTATGCTTCTGCCTATTATCCACATGGCAGCCTTCATGAAGAAACATAGGAGGCAGGTGCATGAGCATGGAGAACCGAGAGGGAGCTAAGGGAGAGGTGCCCTCTGCCTGTGCCCTCAGGGAGGTCGTGGCTGCCAGGCTGGGGAGGGGAGGTCTGGGGGCCAGCCCTTGGTGGCAGGCAGGTTCCTAGAGAGGACCCCAGAGAAGGGGGTGGGTCTGGAGGAGATGCACGAGATCAGTGGCCGCCAGTGGCTACCATTCTTGGCTAAGGTCCGAGACAGCACTGGTCCAGCCCCAGCAGCCCCTGGGTTGACTCACCATGTAAGCTTGTGGGCATCTAGATCAAAGTCAAACATGGAAATGGAAACGTGTCCTTTTGGGTTTTTAGCCACAAGGATATTCTTTCTGGGGTGACTCCAGTGCCACTGTCTCTGAGCCAGCTGCCCCTGCCCCTGCCCCTGCTGATTTTCAGAGAAAATAGTGCTTGGGCAGCCGGGCCAGGAGAACCCAGACTGAGGGCACGCCTTGGCCAAAGAGCAAACGCACAGGGCACTGCCACCCTGGGGCTCTTCCTTGAGTGATTCCAGGGCATGAACAGTCAAGATACCTTTGAGGAGCATTTCCTGGGTTCCTGGGGTGGGGGTGGGGCATCTTGCTGAGGCAGCTTGGGGCACCCTGGCTAACAACCAGGCCTGACTTCCCTCCATGCTCTGGCTTTGAAAACAAGTGAAGTGACTTCAAGAATGACCCAAAGGGGCAGGTGGTCCCTGTGCATTTGACCTTCAGCCAAAAGGTGCCTGGCAGTGGTCAGACAGGCCCTAGGGTCCTGGCTTTTTGTGAAGTGGCTGAGAAATCCAAGGATAAGCCAATAGTGATGTGGGTGGGGATGGGGGGGGGTGTACAAGCAGGGGCATCCTTGGCCTCAGAACATGCCAGAGCTTGGCTGGGGCAGGGCAGGGGGCACTCCCACTAGAGATTTATTCTGTCTCAATGCAGCTTTCTTCTAAGTAATAAGCAGTCAACAGAAGGACACCTAGAAGGGGCAGGTGGAAAGTTCCAGGCTCAGAACCTGTGAGTGCTGGCTTCCCATCCCATCCAACCAGGACCTGAAAGGCTCATCCTCATCCACCACGCCTGAAAGGGGGCCGGCCGGCCTTGCCTTTGGACCTCCTGTGACAGGGAGCTCACTGCCTCCTGAGTCATCTCAGGTCACTGTGAGGCAGCTCTTCCTCATGTCAGGCCTCAGCTTACCCCTTTGACCTTCCTTCTGCCATCGCTCCTGGTGTGCTAAGCAGGAGAAGGATAATTCCTTGCCCGCGTGGCAGACTTTATGTGCCCTCGACTCCTCCCCTCCCCAGTTCCTTCAGCTGATCCCCACGCAGCCTAGATTCCAGGCCCTCACCATGCTGCCTGCCCTCCTCTGCTCACAGTCCACAGCTCACTAAGGTCCTTCTCAAACCATGGCCCCCAGCACTGAACCATTGCTGCAGAGGAGGTCTGCTGGGGGCGACCCTCACCTCCCTGCCTCTGGGCACTGGCTTGTTCTTCCCTGGTGTTAACCAGAGCTGCAACCATACCAAATGTATCCCAGATAAGGGGAGACTTTGCAAACAGCCCCAGTGTCCAGACCACTTCTCTACAGAAGTGTGATGATTCCATGCAGCATCGCCCCTCCCCCAGCCCATGACTTACTTTAATAAGGTTCTTGACGGAGACCTGCCCTCTGATTTGAAGTGGGTTTCAAATGGATTCCCAAAAGAACGTTTCCTTAACATGGCCTTCACAAGGATCTGGAGAGGAGGGGGTAAAAGGTATTGGGCACTGTCAGGCTGTGCGCTGCCCGTGGAGGGCGCTGTTTATAGCCAGCACTCACTTCATGGGCCAGGCATCTTTAGCTGGATATGGGCTGGCATCCCATTTCAGACACAGAATTGAATCTTCACCCATTCTGAAAATCCATTTCTGACCATGACAGCAGAGATCAGTCATCTATTCAAGGGCCCAAGGAGTGGAGCAGTGCTCTGTTTGGGTCAGTTTAGACCCAGGTGGTGACGATAAAGTTGGAGCAAATCAGGCTAGTCCTGCTGTTTCTGAGCCACAGACTAAGAAGGCAGGGGCCCCTTGAAGGCCGAGAGACTCATTTTACAGGTGGGGAAACTGAGGCCCTGGAGGTGGAGGGATTTGCCCAGATCCCGCACCAGGGAGTGGGGGGCCCAGAACCGAATCCCAGGCCCCTTGGCTCCAAGGCCAGGACTCCCTCCACAGGCCACATGGCCTCCTTCTGAAGGTTTTTCACTTTCAGGTCCCTTCAACCTTTTATCTTCTCAGAACCAATCATGCCAATTCCTCTCTAACAAGGACAGCCAGGCTCCCTTCCTCCATGCTTGGGAGGCATAGGAAATCAAGTGCTGGACTGGAGTCAGGAAGGCATGAGTTCAAATGCCGCCCTGCCTCAGGAAAATGTCGAATCTGACTCATTCAAACTCTACTCATTAGGAATTCTCTTGGGCTGGGCGAGGCTGACTAGGTTTCCAGCTTGTGTGAACTCTATATTGAAAGGCTTGCTGAACAAATCAGTAGTGAAATCTTGAGAACAAGGGTGCTCGTCCACCCTACTTCAGAAAGTGAACCGCTGTCGACCTCTGGCATCGCCCCTTGGCCAGATTACTTCAGTTGAGCTGCTCTTTGGCCACAACACTGCCAGCCTCTCCATCGGGCGCAGAAGTGCCAATCATTCAGCAGGTTCTACATCTCCCTAGGGCCACTACAGTTGTTTCCCACCCCCATCAGGCTGAATCAGCAAGGGCAGCGTGTGTGACTTTCCCCTAGAAAGCTCTCGTTTGCTTGACTTCTCTCCCACAGAAGCTGAGAGAGCTCTTCAAGCCTACCCCTCTGCAGGCTCCCCCCAAACGCTGAACAAGCTCCCTGGGGGGAGGGGCTCTCAGCGAGCAGAACCACGGACAGCTCCTGCTTGCTTACCACAGTGGGCAGCCGAGGGATCAGCTTGACCGAGTTCTTCACCTCCTCCTCTGTTACCTCCACAATAGTGCAGTGCTCCTCCTCGGAGGGGAGAGGGTACTCTCCATTCTTGGTCACCCAGGGGTGTAACTTCATGAGAGGGAAGCAATGGAGGGTCTTTGTCAGCAAGCACAGCCTGGGTGGGGGCAGCAATCCCCCTGACATTCTGACTCCCCGCATCTCGGACCTCACCACCTTCAAGTCCTCCCTCCACAGCTCTGCCCTCCAGCTTCTGACTTCCTTTCTGCCACCTCTGCCACGCTCAGTGACCTCCCCTCCACCCCTGCTCCCCTAGTCCACCTTCTCTTGCCTCTATACCTCAAGGGAACCCAACTCCGGACGCCTTGTCCCCCAACTCCCTGCCCTCTTCTGACTGCTGGCCCCCCAGTGCAGGCTAAGTCCCACCCCATCCAATCCTCTTACTCCTGGAACCCATATACAAAATCAAGCCAATCTGTCTCACTCTACATTTACGGGCTTTGGCCTCGGCTGGGCCCTCAGTTCTGCTTGGCTACCCTCTCCTCTTTTTTGGTCCTTATTTTGGTGAATTTGTCCCTTCTCCACAAGCCCCCAGTTGAATCCTCATCCTCACCTCTGACAGCCCCTGCCTCATGGAGCTCAAAACTGTCTAGAGAGGGTCAAAGGCACATACATACACAAAAGAGACACTTGTATGAAGTGTGACATGAGGGAGTGATGTGAGAGAGAAGAGGGTCCAGTGAGGGGGCAAACTATGGGAGGAGACAGGAGGGCATGGGGAAGGAAGGAGGGCAGAGATGGGTCTTGGCAAATGGCATCAGAAGTACGGGGTGGCAGAGGAGTGTAAGGAGGCAGTGTGTGAGTCAGCCTCAGTCTCATGACAGCATAAGGCTCAATGCCTCACCCAAACGGATAGGCGGGCATTAGGGGTCGCAGAGGAGGTGGCACCAGGAGAGGGTGATGGAGGGGGCGACAGGGAGGTCATCAGAGAGTGGAGATGCATACAAGAGGAGGCTGGGTTGAGCATGGGAAGCTGCCCCTGGGCTCCAGGAGGATCCAGGCTCAGTGCACTCACCTTGATTTCAGGGATCACAATCCTTGTCTGGGGGTTCTTGTCCAACATCCGGAGGATCAGGTCCTGGAGTGACTCACTGATCGGGGGCCTGTAAGGAAGGAAAGGGTATGGCAGGAAGAGCAGCCCTAAGCCAGGCCAGTAAAAGCATCCCTGCCCGGGTGGGGCTCTGGCCCGTGTCCTGGCTGGCAGCCATAGCCTTGGAATCCACAAGGCCAGGCTCTGCCATGTTGGGGAGGGCGCTCTGGGTTTGGCCATGGAGACAGGACCCTCGGTGGGCACCTTTCCTGCTCTTAGCCTCAGTTTCCTGTCCTGTGAAGTGGGGTTGTGGAGAGGGGAGGGAGGGAATAAACATTTATGTAGCACCTACTATGTGCAAGGCTAAGCAAATTACAATTATTATCTCACAACAACCCTCTGAGGTAGGTGCTGTTATGATCCCCATTTTGCGGTAGAGGAAACTGAGGCAGACAGGTTCAATGACTTGTCCAGGGTCACCCAGCTGGTAAGCGTCTCAGGCTGGATTTGAACTTGGCTCTTCCTGTCTCCCCGCCCAGCATTCTGTGCACTCTGGCGCCCCCAGCAGCCTCAGCAGAGTCACTGGGGAGCTTTGGGGCCTTTCACTGAGCACCTCAGACACAGGGTCATCCAATTTCTGGCTGATGGCCCCTCTTGGGGGTTGGGCGGTGGCGGGGAACTCACCACCTCACCCAGCTCTCCTTCACACCTTCACGGGCTTCCCTCATCAGCCCCATTAAGGCCATTTGGCTTTTGAAGACATTCTGCTCATTGGAGCGTCAGTGTTGACTGCCAGTGACTAGAGAGAAAGGCGCCTGGGCCCAACCCAGAGAACAGGAGGGGTTCTGGGCAAAGCCAGAGTGGGCTCTCCCTGCAAGGCTGCAGCACCCTGATGGGTGGGGCAGGGCATCTGAGAGTCACAGAGGCCAGCAATCGGCCCCTCTCCGAGCAGATCCCAAGGCCGTCCAGCACTGTGAAAGGTCCAGGCTGAGTCTGGGGATCCTGATGCTCCTGAAGGGCCCCCCAAGCTCTTAGCTCGCACCGGGTTCAGTGGAATGGAACCAGCCTTAATGACGGTGTGGGATCCTCCATGGGCCCATTCCTAAGCCTTGGGGGAGGGAGCCTCCAGAAGCCTAGTGGGGTCCAGACTTTAATCGGCAGCAGGTGGGGCAGGCTGTGCAGGGGAGGGGTCATCGCCACATCTCAGGTAATGGGACCCAAAGCAAGGCCGAGGGGCCGTGGCGGGGTAGGCCAGCGGCCGGAAATGACCGCACAAAACCAGCTGTTTGAGCTGGGGGGCGGCATTTGATACCTGCTAATGTTGGGGGGTTGTTTTATGCCTCATTCGTGTGGAGGCATCACCAGAAACCTGGGAAATCTCGCTGCTGGTCAGGCCAGTAGGGGTCAGCAGCTTTCCACCAGAAGGCTGGAGACACGCCCCCCCCCCCCCCCAAGCAAAGAGAGAGGATCTTATGAGCCAGACAAAGCGCCAATGCTGGGCTGGCTTTCCCCAGTCACCTCATCAGGGTGGGAACAGCTTCTTGGAGTGTCATCGTGTCAGCCCTAGACTGAGCCTGCCCCCACCAACCCCCCCCCCATCTTCAGGGGGTCCCCTGTGGTACCCAGGAGTGCACAGGAATTCTCCTCGAGGCCTGGGGCAGAGTCTCTATCCCCTCCACAGTGACTCACAGCTCTCCCATAGCCCATGAGCCCATCCCCCTGCCCTGCCCCAAGTAGGAGGCTGACATTCTGAGCTTGTAATGGGGCCAGGGGCTGCCTCCCTCCTCCCCTGCCTGGGGCAGTATCATTTCCAACTCTACAGGCAGGAGGAGGCCCCGCCTTTCCAGGGGCTGCTGGGCCCCTCCTTAGAAGGCCCTGGGCATATGAAGGAATCCAAGCCTCCTAAGGCTGCAACTCCGGACCAGCCTTTTGGGTCAGCTTAACAAATATCCTTTTGAGGACCTTGTGCCTGTCACCACTGAGCTGTCTGGTGTGAGGATGTGACACCCACCCCACAAAGGCAAATGTCACTCATGAGGCCATTGGAGAAGGACTGGAGGGTGGGGGGAGGTGGGGTGGCCCCTCTCATTTTTGGTCCTGACCAGGGGAAGGGGGGGGCTTCCTGGAGAAGGTGGCATTTGGCTTAGGTGCTGAGGGGCAGGCCAAAGCTGAGCAGGTGGGCAGGATGCTCTGGGCAGTGGGATGGAAGGACTAGATGCTGAGGTGGGAAAGCCCTGCTCCCAGTGAGTCGCCGGTTTGGGCTGAAACACGGAGGACGCAAAGAGGGGCCTTACAAAATAAAGCTGGAGGGGCAGCTAGATAGCATAATGGATAGAGCCCCAGCCCTGAAGTCAGGAGGACCTGAGTTCAAATTCGGCCTCAGATGAAATACTTGACACTTACTAGCTATGTGACCCTGGGTAAGTCACTTAACCCCAATTGCCTTAAAAAAAAATTAAAAATTTAAAAACAAAATAAAGCTTTAAGGGAGCGGGAGAGGAGCCAGACTGGGGAGGGCCTTGAATGCCACCTCCAGTTTTTCTACTTTATTCCATAGATAATGGTGGGGGTGAGGGGAAGGCAGAGGAATCCTGAAATCAGAACTGCCTGTGAGCGATATCTGTCAGAGGTGGGCAGGACAAGGTGGGGTGGAGACAGGGAAGGCCTGGCTCCTTACCAGGCCAGCGGGTAGAAGGGGCCTGAGTAAGCCCAGGAGCAGTGGGAATGAGGGCAGAGGGGGCTGATGGAGGAGACCACAGGGGGCAACCACAGAACCAGAGACAGAGACAACACTGAGCTTTAGCACTTGGGCACTGGGATGGGTGGGAGCAGCCATGAGCAAGCAGCTGGGATGGAGGGACCTGCCTCACCTGGAAGCAGGATTCAGACTCCCCTCTGTGGTGAGAACTGTGGAGCCACAGGAAGCCATGCCCCTGCCCCCCAATCCCTGCCAGGCAAGACTGGTAGACTGGCTGTGGCAGGCATGACCTCAGAGCTCAGAAGACCACAGGACTGGAGCTGAACAGGACCCCAGAGGCCAGGTCCTCATTTTACAGATGAGGAAACTGAGTTCCACAAAGGTGAAGTGAATGGTTGAACCTCACACAGCTAGAACATGGCAGGATTTGAACCCAGGTCCTCTGACCCCAAGTTGTTTGCTTTCCACTTGTCCCATGGCATTGGGTCCAACCTCCAGCCCCACTTTGGTAAGCCCTCAGGGCCATCTCTGCCCAGTGGTTCTTAATGGTAACTTGGGCTGTGAGCACACCTTGGAAACAAGAGACAGAGAGGTGGGGTGGGGGAGGGGGGGGAGGAACAGAGACCAGGTGTCCCTGCTGGGGCCAGACCTTGCCTCTGCCCATTCGGGGGAGCTTACTTACTGCTCTGGGAATCCCACTTCCTCCTTCCTGATCTTCTGGTGGAGGGCCAGGATGGAATCATCAATGAAAGGGCACTGGAAAGCAGAGGTGGGCTTTAGGAGGGGCCATCTGGAGACAGGGTGTGAGATGAACATGGTGGAGGCTGACAGCGTCCACAGCCTGAGTGTGCCCTGGGCAGGGGACAGCTGAGGCTGAGGAGGGGACACCTACAGAATGACAGCTACCTGGAGAAGGCACTGAGGGCAAGGCAGGAGTCAAAGAGGTGCTGGGGGTCTCCAGCCTGCAGGATCTGGGGGGAAGCCAGGCAGCTGGGACAAAGGGCAGGGGGTCAGTGTGGAGATGGCTAGGTCACAAAAGTGGGGATGAGGGACTCTCTGGAGCAGTAAAAAGTTGGAAGGAAGAAAGGAGAAAGGGAGAAAGGAAGAAAGGAGGGAGAGAGAGAAGAAAGGAAGAGAGAGAAGGAAGGAAGGAAGGAAGGAAGGAAGGAAGGAAGGAAGGAAGGAAGGAAGGAAGAAGGAAGGAAGGAAGGAAGGAAGGAAGGAAGGAAGAAGAAGAAGAAGGAAGGAAGGAAGGAAGAAGGAAGGAAGGAAGGAAGGAAGGAAGGAAGGAAGGAAGGAAGGAAGGAAGGAAGGAAGGAAGGAAGGAGGAGGGAGGGAGGGAGGAAAGAACCAAAGGTGGGAGGGAGGGAGGAAGAAAGTAAGGGAGGGAGGCGAGAGGGAGGGAGGCGAGAGGGAGGGAAGGAAGGGAGGGGCAGTCTCTCTCTGACTTGGCTTGGTCACTCTCCATTACACAGGGCAAGCCCCCAGTGGGCCCAGCTAGGAAGGTGGCACAGCTGTCCTTGGCCCTACCCCTCTCCCTTTGCCTGGACCCCATCTGCATATGCACAAACTGTGATTTATACTGGAAGGGTCTTAGAGGGATTGAATGGACTTATCTTTCAAGGGAGGGGGCAGCACTTAGCTCCAAGGGAGGGGGAACCAATGACTTCATGCCAGGCACGAGGCATAGATGTGTGTGGGCATGTTCTATTCTTACATGTGGCTGCCCTAGCTCAGCAGACGCCTATGAAGTGGGGGGAGGGGAGGTGTGGTATCTGGGGCACAATGGGCCTCCTGCACTGGAGATGAGACGTGTGCATGCACTCACCTTCCCGTAGACAAAGCAATACAAAGTGATGCCTGTAGCCCAGACATCCAGGGCCTGAAAGAGAGTAGAAAGTCGGGGTGATGGAGCTGCTGGTGCAGGGGGAGAAGGCGGCTGCCGCGGGGCAAAAGGGGAGCACATGGAAGCGGAGGGAGAGAAGAGAGGGGGCCGGGCCAGAGCTCTGGAGGGCAGCCAGTTACCGGGCATTTATTAGGCACCCACTGCGTGCCAGGCACCGTGCTAAGCACTGAGGTCATAGAGAGGCTTGGACAACGGTGAGAGAAGCAGAAGAGGAACGGCTGGAGAGGGAGGCGGGGAACCACTGAGTCAGGGCCCAGGGGCATTTGTCGTGTGCCGGGCCCCAGTGTCTGCTCTCGAGATACCCACTAGCCTGGCAGCTGGCGAGGGCCGTGGGCTCCCCCTCTCCTCTGCCTTTCCCTCTGCATGTGGGCATGGCAGCACACTGCTTCCTCTTTCTGGGCCTCAGTTTCCATGACCATACAATGGGGATAATACCATACCCCTGCTCTGCCTCTCTCCCAGGGCTGCTAGTAGATATTCTTACTGGGCTGCAGGCCCCCAGGGATGGAGCAGGTTTGGCTCACCTCTGTACTGTCCACCCCCTCCCCAACCCCACACATGGGATTCTTGGGGGAGGGGAATTGGGGAGGAAGGAGGTAGGCTAGTCTGTGCTCTCCAGGCAGCCCTGCCAAGAAGCAGGTGGGGGAGGGGGGGAGGTTGGCATCCCCTCTCCGATCTCCACCCAAGGCATTCCAGGCCATTGCCCCGAAGGCCTCTCAGCCCCGGCTCTTCAAATTCTAATTTGGCTGTGGCCCTTTGTGTGCATGGCCCGGGCCCAGGCACCCACCTTTCCTCTGAAGCTCTGGCCCGAATCAGAGATGGCCTCTGGGGCCATGAAGGCTGGGGTTCCCGCAGTGCTGGACAGCTGGGCGTCGTTCCCTTCAAACTGATTGCTGACCCCAAAGTCCGCGATCTTCACCCGGTCATCGTCCCCCAAGAGCAGGTTGGATGGCTTGATGTCTCGATGAATGATCTTCTGGTAATGCACTTCAGGGAGAGGAGAGAGGAGAAGAGTCAGGGCTTGCTGGGGCAGATAGCCTGGGCAGCTGGCCGGGGGCATCTGCTCCTGGGCTGACTATCCCAGGGCCTCCGAGGGAGCCAAGGCGTGCCTGCGGCATGATGACGCCTTCTGGGATGAGGAAAGCCTCTCCACGTGGGGACCTCTCCATTGTGGGGAGAGCTTAAGGCCCAGGTGAAAGTGAGCTGAGCCTCTCTCTGCCCCTCAGGCTCGGCCCAGCTGCACCCATGTAGGGCGCCAGTGCAGAGCGGTGTCAGGATGACCCGCGCTCCTAGGCAGCAGTGTGTCCACAAACTCTCTGACTTTCTGGGCCACGATCGGGGAGAAGCCCCTGCCTTTGGCTCCCTGCCTTCTCCAGGGTTCTGGGCCCTTGGACCCAATCCGCTCTCAGACTTGGGCTCTGAAGACCGAGGTCCTCAATCCCAGAGACCACTGAAGCCGTCTGGCCCACCTGTCCCCTCCCCCTGGGGGAGCCTGCTTCCCCGCTGGGAACTGCTCCCCATGCCAGGACAGCTTATATGTCTCAAGACTAAACAGGCTCCTGTTGCTGGTCAGTCCAGAGCCGGAGGGACTCTCAAAGGTCACGAAGTCCAAGCCCCTCACTTCACTGATGAGTCAAAAGTCCAAGGCCCCAGGGGTGCCCAAGGTCACCCAAGCGCAACATTTGAACGCAGAGCCCCTAGCACCAGGGATCTTTTCACTGTGAGTTTTTCTGTCTGGGGCCAAGCACAGCAAATCTGAGCCCTCCTTCTGATAGGTGAACACAGCTTTTGTGTTCCCCGAGTCCTCTGTTTTCTGAGTCCCTTGTGGCATGGCCTGCAGGCCCCTCACCCTTCTCCCGACCCTCTCCAGATTGGTAGTGGCCTTCCTGCCCTGGGAAGGCCCCAGATGGGTCTGAGCAGGGACACCCCCCCCCTACTGGACGCCGCCTCTTTTCCCACACGGACCTCTGGGCCGCCCATGACACCGTGAACTCATTCCTTGCTCTGTCCCCAGGGGAAGCCAGGACAAGCGGACTTCAGGCTGCCAAGCTAGGGCTGCACATAAAAGGAGACCTTCAGGGTCAAAGCCAATGGGCAGGTCACATGACCAAAGGGCTAGGCCCTAGACCCTTTCTCAGACCCTCATGACCTCTCAAACCTCCCCAAAAACTGGAATTATGCACAAGAGGTGGAATGATGTCAGCTGCTTCCACAGACTATGATGCCAAGAACCCAGACAAGATAAAACCTGATGTACAGAAAGAAGACCAGCCGTCTCTAAGCCCTAATGGGCTCACTTAGCACCTCTCCTCCACCACCCACCATCGCAGGCTGCCCCTGACCCATGGGCTTGCCCCCCATCCCGAGCACCAAGGGAACAAAAAGGGGCAGAAGTTGGAACAGGCCACGACAGAGCTGAGCCAGAGAACTGAGAAGAAGAAAGGACTGGAGCAGGATCCATGCGGGGCCATCCGGTGCTCCTCTGGGCCCAGCGGAAGCGTGCAGCATCCTGTGGAGGACAGCTTTGTCGCCCAGGGGCCCTCTGGGGCTGGAGAGTCAGAGAGTGAGCGGCAGGGGAAGAGAAGGCCAGACTGAAATTACCAGAGATTTCAGGAGGAAGAAGGCTCATTTAAAGGCCTCCTAAAGGGAGGATGTTAATACCACAAAGGAATATGGCCTCCAGATCAGGAAAAAGAATGTGGATGTTGATGATAAATAAATAAAGTCAAAGGGAAATGAATCAACATCTAATGAGAGAGAAGACCTTGTGGATTCCCAAGAGACTGTGGAAGTGCAGCAAGATAAACCCGAAAGGTTTCAAAGAGAAATAAGAATTGTGAATTGTGCTTAGGGGAAAAGATGAACAGGATAGAAAACTTGGACCCATGGCTGCAAGTCTCACCAAAGAAACGAGAGAGAGCTCATTGGGAATGCACACGCACAGAAGTGGAGAAGCGTCCAGGAGAAGAGGGAAAATCTGGCTGGTCAGAAGACACTACGATTTCCAGACGATTAAAGTACGCTCATCTGTAGGTCCGGATGCCCCGGGACAAGCCAAGGGTTGCCGGTCTCCCAGAACGTAACAAGTAAAAAACAAAATGAAGCCTAAACATTAAATGCGAGTCAACTGTTGAGCTTTTCTGAACACAGAAAACAAAGTGCAGATGCAAAGAATCCCCAGATCACCTGGAGGGTCAGTGTGACCACACACAGACTAGGGCACTCTTTGGGGGGCTTCGTTACAGGGCTTCAACTTCCCTGTGCCACACCTAGGTGGACACTTTGCTCAGTCACACAGCTAGTCAGTGTCTGAGGCTGGATTTGAACTCAGGTGTTCCTGACTCCAGGCCCAGTGGTGTTTCCATAGCGCCATCTAACTGCCTCTATAGTGGGATGGGGTGCTAGGTGGCGCCGTTGTGCACAGAGTGCTGGATGTCAGGAAGACTCCTCCTCTTGAGTTCAAATCCAGTCTCAGACACTTACTGGCTGTGTGACCCTGGGCAAGTCACTTCACCCAGTTTGTCTCAGTTTCCTCATCTGCAAAGTGAGTTGAAGAAGGACATGACAGACCAGTATCTCTGCCAAGAAGACCCCAAACGGGGTCATGACTGAAAAACTACTAAACCACAAATAGCAAAAATGGTGAGGAGAACAGGGAGTCAGAGGACCTGGCTCAAGTCGTGGCTCTGGTGATTTGGCAGCTGCATGGTCACAGACCAGTCATTTCTAAAGCCTCAGTTTTCTCTTCTGTAAAGTGGGGATCACCTTGGAGGGTTGTTGCGACCAAGCCTTCCCAAGGTAGCCCTGAGGTTTGGACACCACCTCTCTTGTCGGTGGGCTTTCCCCCTCCTCCCTTTTCCCCCTGCAGGGCAGGGTGGGGAGCAGAGCCCCTCCTAGCCCACAGCACTGACCCTCCCCAGCTGAAGCACCGGGCTCAGCAAACAGGAGGGACTCAGGAAATGCTGAGGAGAGTCTCCTCCCCCTCGGTCTTGTGTCCATGGACAGATTGTGTGACTTAGGAAGCCCCTGCTTTGTACCCGGCCCCAGGGATTCAGAGGCCACCGTGAAAACAGGCCTTGCCTTCAGGGAGCTTCTGCTCTGGGGGAGGGGGGCAGGGAGGGAAGGAACCTGCAAGGTCATGCTGGCCACTCCACCCATTTTACAGATGAGAACTTTAGGGCTGAGGGAAGAGGCTAGCTCGAGGTCATGCAGGGAAGAGCCCAAGCTAGCATCTGGAGCCAGATCCTCAGACTGCAGATGATCTCAGGGGCAGCGCCCTAGCCCTGCCTGTCCCAAAGCTGCGGAATATTGAAGGGGAAGAGAGATGAGGGGTGGCTGGGCCTGGTGCAGTGTCCTGAGCAGAAGGAACCTTCAAGGAAACAGAAGCAGAATTCGGAGGCGCAGAGACGAGGAGGAAGGCATCCTAGGTACAGGGGCAACTTGTGTTAATTAATGCAGGGAGGTCATGGTCCTTGGAGGCAAGGAGCCTGTTTCTCCTCCATTCTCTATGGTGCCTGACTGGTTCTCAATACAGACTGCCTCGTTTCATCTTGGGTGAAGCAGAATGAACGTGCTGCTGTGAGAGGCAATGCGCTCCCTGGCTGAAGGTCTCTTCAAATGGCCACCAGCAGGGAGGCTGGAGGGGTCCCTTGTTCAAGGCCTGGGGCACTGACATTGCCCTGAGGCTGGTCTGACCTCCAGGACTGGCCTTCCTCCTTCTTCCAGTTCTAGGGGCAGCATTCAGGTTGCCATCCTCACCCCCGGTAGCCACACCAGCCCTGGCAGCTCCCTGCTTTTCATGGACTTTGGGCCCTGATGCCATCTGCCATCTGCCCCCTCTCTCCCCTCCTCCCCGCTAGTCTGCTGGCAGCTCCTTCCTCAGGGCTAAGTGGGCACAGGGCACTTATTCCTGGAGGTCACTTGGGGACTGTGTGCCCTGGGCTGGGCAGCCGGGTTTCCTCTCCCCCAACTTGGTATTGTTCTGCTGCTCCTGGCTAGGAGCCCACGGTGCCCAGAGCCACGAACAGTCTGCCTGGGCTCAAAGCCATCTCCGCCTCTTCTGCCTCCTCCAGCTCGGGCTGCCGGGCTCTCAGACCCCCACGCTCATCTGCTTTCCTGGCTCTGAGCTTGTAGAGAGTCAGGTCCCAGGAGTGGGTGGGCTCTGGAAATACCTCTGCTCGGGGGAGAATCAGCAGCCCGAGGGGCGAGGCTTGGAACTCTGTGGGGGAGAGTGGGCAAATGGAGGAGATAATGAAGCGTTCACAGCCCCCCATCCTCATCCGGGGCCATGAAGCCCTTGGGGGGTTATCAAGGATAAGCAGATTATCGACTGATGTCCAAGCCAGTGGTGGCACCAAGCTGAGGAGGAACGCTAGGGGGGCCCGGTGTTGTGTGTGTGTGTGTGTGTGTGTGTTGTGTGTGTGTGTGTGTGGTAGGAGGGGGGAAGAGGAAGAGAGAAAGAGAGGGGAGAGAGACAGAGATAAAGAGAGAGGAGCCCCTCCGGGCGTGGCAGAGGGCAGGCACCTCATGGCCACACCCTGAGGCCCAGGCACCTGGCCTTCCCAAGCCAAGCTTCGGCTGGCACTGAGGACGGCCTTGGGCCTGGCACTCGATGCCCTTGTCCTTGGGGACTCTTCGACTTCGGGAAAGATTCAAGCAGCGACGGTGGAGCCCAACAGTGACACTCGTCCAGCTGGTTTTCCCACAGCTGAATCTGAGCCCCGAAGGCTTCCGTGCTCGGCCCCTAAAAGTCAGTCAAGCAGCCACTCCACAAACGTGGGTCGAGCTCCTCTGTGCCAGACACACGGGGACAAAGCCCCGCAGCTGACCACTTGGTCTTAACTCCTCCGGCATCATTATCCACAGACTGTCTCAGCTCCGGTCCTCCTCACACCTCCCCGGTCCCTCCAGCTGACTTGCCCTCTGACCTGAGGGCTGGAGAGGGTCCCCCCTCCCCCCATGGATCCAAGACTCCCAATCGCCAGCCCTCTCGTCACTCCCCACCAGCTGCTCTGTTTGGTTTCCGCGGAGAGACCCCTCTGGGGCCGCCACCCTTTCCAGCCTCCTTTTGGGCTTCCGGGTCTCCCGAGGAGCAGGGACAGCCGGGTTTGTGGCCCTTCGTCGGTGCTTAATACGGTCTCCTGGGCATTGACTAAACGTTTCCGGAACCAGGCTGTTTTCTCTTGGGGAATCCCAATCATGCTCAGCCCAGCCCCGTCGACAGGCTAGCTGCTCCTACCTTCCGCTGCCAAGGCTCACCGCAGGACAGTCTCCCAGGTCACGTGCCCGTGCTCCCCCGGCTGTCCACAGCCCTCCAGGAGGGGAGGCTTTTTGGAGGCAGCCCCCATCACTTGTCTGATGCTTCTGACGGCCTGGGACGTCCCAGGTCCAGATTCCCAACCCCCTCCTCCCTGGGCTTCCCTGGCACCGGCTCGCCCGGCGCTCCTCCTACGGGCTCACCACTCCTTCTCAGGCTGCTGTTCTGGACGATTATCCACCTCCCACTCACTCCAGCCGCGGGCATCCTCTCTGCTCTGTCCTGGCCCCTTTGTCCCCCCTCTCTGCTCTCCCTGTCTTTTGCCCTTTCTTGGTATGCCCAGTGCTCAGTACGGTGCCTGGCACATAGTAGGTGCTTCATAAATGCTTATTGACTAATAGATAAGTGGGTCAATGATGGTGGGGGGAGGGGCGTTGTTGTGTGTGTGTGTGTGTGTGTGTGTGTGTGTGTGTGTGTGTGTGAAAAGCCTCAGGCAGAAAGTGACCGGGAGCTGGGCTTTGAAGGAAGCCTGGGACTGCAAGAGGTGAAGGGGACAGGTGTGCATCCCATATGTGGGAGATCAGTTGGGGCAGCTGCTGATGTAGTGGGTGTAGAGCTGAGCCTGGAGTCAGGGCACCTGAGTTCAAATCTGAGCTTTGTGACCCTGGGCAAGCCACTTCACCTCGATCTGCCTCAGTTTCCTAAAACAGAGACAATAATGGACCCTGCCTCCCAGGGTTATTGCGTGAGATTGTACCAGTGATGCGCTTAGCGCTGCACCTGGCATGCTACTCGTGCCTATGGATGCTCCGGGGCAGGGACAAGGCTCACTGTAGAGGGCGAGCTGCTCCGTGTAGATGGCTACAGGACGGAGGAGGCAGCTGGCTGTACTGCCTTTCACTTTGGCTCCCTTCTCCCTAACTGGCGCAATGGACGTCACACTAGGCTGGAGATCAAGAAGCTTCCACCTGCTCCTGACTTCCTGAGGACTCCTGGACTAGTCATTTAGCCAATTTGTGCCTCAGTTTCCCCATACCAGCCGTTTGCCCAGCCTGCCAGGGAAGCTACAGTTCAGAAAACAAGGGGGATGTCATTCATTAGGGTGGCACAAACTTCACACAAATGCCATGGGAGGGGGGAGTCAGCTCTCCAGCCAAAGCCCAGCCCCTCCGGGCATCACTCTGCTGGTGACAAGCGCCCTCCCCAGCTCAGGCTACTCACGGTACTCCAGGCCCAGGACAATGTCCCGCAGGTAGGGCCAAGCTTGCTCCTCAGTGAAGGGGTCATCACAGGGCACCTCCATGACAGGGCTGCAGGGGACAAGGGACCCTGTGAGCTTAAATGGACAGCAAAGGCAGGAGGGGCCAGAAGGGGAGGGGTGGTTCAGTTAGGACCGGAAGCCAAGGTAAGTCCTGTTGGCTCAAGTCCCTGGGGCCAGGGGCTGCTCTCTCCCATGTCCTCAGAGGAATTCATGGGGCCCTTGGCAATCTCTGTCTCTCCTTCTCCCTCTCTTTCTCCCTTTCTCTCTCTCTCTTCTTCTTTTTCTTCTTCTCTCTCTCCTCTTCTCTCTCTCTCCCCCCTTTCTTTTCCTCTCTCTCTCTGTCTCTCTCCCCTCTCCTCTCTTTTCTGTCTCTCTCTCCTTCTTCTTCCTCTCTCTCTACGCTCTCCATCTCTCTCCTTTCTTTTCTTCCCCCCTATTTTTCTTCCTCCCTCGCTTTCTTTTACTCTGTCTCTCTCCTTCTCTCCTCTGTCTCTCTCTCTCTGTCTGTCTCTGTCTGTCTCTGTCTCTCTCTCCATCTCTGTCTCTGTTTCTCTGTCTCTCTGTCTGTCTGTCTGTCTGTCTGTCTGTCTGTCTGTCTCTCTCTCTCTCTCTCTCTCTCTCTCTCTCTCCCCCTGTCTCTCTCTCTCACTCTCTCTCTTTGTCTTTCTCTCTCTGTCTCTTTGTCTGTCTCTGTCCCTGTCTCTGCCTCTCTTCCCCTGTCTCTCTCTCTCTGTCTCTCTTTCTCTCTCTCCCTCGCTCCCTTCCCCACCCGGTACTATCCAATACCTTATTTTTTCATTTCCCAGAACACCCTGACTTACACATTTTTTATTCACTCAATGGACCTCAGAGGCTTGTATGACATGAAACAGACCAGACCCCATATCTGACTGAAAGTTCCCTCCATGTATCCCCTTAAGGGCTTCTTCAGCCCCTGCTTGCAGACTTCCAGGAGGTAGGGTGCTCACTACCCCCCGAGGCCTCCCATCCCCCTTTGGGGAATCTCTCCTGGCCAGGGAGTTGTTCCTGACCTCTGGCCCTAGTTGGCACCATCCCCCCACTCCTGGTTCTGCCCTCCGGGCCCTCTTTCCTTCGAATCTCAAATACATGAAGGTGCTGTTGTGCCCTGCAGTCTTCCTTTTCCTGGCCAAACTGACCCCCTTCTTCCTACATGGGTAGAAGGGCCTACAAGCCCTTGGCAGCTACACTGGCCTCCCCTGGACAGGCACCTCCTTGGTCCTGCCTCAAACGTGGCAGCCCCAAGTAATACAGAGCTGGGTTTCCTAACAGACTGGACCTTAGACCGTAAGCAAGAGACTGAAAACTAAACAGGTTAAATCATCGGCCGGCTCCTGGGGCCCTCTGCTCTGGCTGGCCTGGGTTCCCTGGGTGTGGTCACTGCAGCCTCTTCCTCCTCCAGGGGCCCCTCCATGATCCCATGGCTGAGCCCTCCCTACTCCCCCCACCAGAGCGTGGGGGAAAGGTGACTGACCTTGCTGACTGGCCTGGAGTTCATGGGTGGTGAGTAGGGGGATTAAGCGGCTAGCTGGCTACTTACCCCTTTTGGAGCAGGTCAAACACTGGAAAGAAAGTAGAAGAGACCATGATGGCCCAATCCCAGACACGGGGACAGTGCCACAAGCCCCACGACCCACCCTCCCAGTCCCCCACCCTGGGCAGAGAAAGCACTGGCTCAGACTTCAGGACACCTGGTGGCCTGGTCCAAGCCACGGTCATCTGCTTGAGCCTCAGTGTGCCTGTATGTAAAGGGAGGGGGCTGAACGTTTTGGCCTTTACAAGGGGATCCTGTGAGGCTTAGATCTCTCTGGCCTCAGTTTCCTCATATGTAAAATGATTTGCTGTGCTAAGTCAGAGAGACGCCTGCACTGTCTGCAGTCATGTGTACAGCTGCACACAGAGGAGTGCCTCGCTAACCCAGAATCTGTCTGGTAACTTCATCTATCCAGAATGGAGTTAGGAAAAGTCCCCACTATTTGTGCTGAGGCCTGAGCTCTGCAGGTCTGGAAGAGCCTCAGCCTGGCAGCCTATTAGAATCTCCATTTTACAGGTGAGCAAACTGAGGCTTGCTCAGGCTGCCAGAGGCAGGATCCCACCCAGTCCTCGAAAAGCCCAAGCCCAGTTCTGCCTGGCTGCCTTTTCCCAGACCCAGAGCCCCTCCAAAGGAGCCAGGCAGCCAGGAAGGACTGAGTGGGGCTGGGGCAGTGCCAGGCCTGCTGTTTAGAGCTAAGTGGCTTAGGATCTGACCCCACTAAGCAGGGATGACTTAGCTTTTATCTGCCACATCCCTGGGGAGGGGCCTCTTTCCTCCTACCCCACCCCAGTTCATCTTACTCAAAAAGGAAACCCTCCCCTCCTCTCACTAACATCCAGGTCAAGAAACCAAGATGGCACTCACCCATGTAGAGGCTGTCCTCAGCGGGGTCATCCAGGACCTGTCCAGAGAGGAAGCGCCATCAGCAGGAGAGATGCCAGTGTCCACTCAACCCAGGTGACCAAGGGGGAGAGGGGATGGAGGGGAGGAAGGCAGTGGGGGAGGATGGAGGACAGTGTAGGGGAGGGGATGGAGGAGGAAAGGATGACATGTGGAGGAGTCAGGGAAAATGTTGGCCTGGATGGGTGGAGGGAATTCCCTTCTCTGGAAGTTCCCAGTACCAGGGAAATCATAGGATGAGGCTCTAGTCCTAGAAGGAACCTGGGGGTCAATAAGGGTGGAGAAGACAGAGAACATCACCCCCCCCCCGTGGATGAAGGGAACAGGAAATAGGAACTGGGCAAAAAGTGTAGGAGAAGAGATGAGGGTGAGTGCTGGTGAGAAGCCGCCAGTAACCAAAGGCCTACTATGGTCCTTGGTTCCAAGGGTTGGGGGGGTTGTCTCCCCAGCTTTGTGGCTGCTTCCCCTAACCACCAGCCATCCCCAAGGCTTCCAGGAGACCCAGGGCACCCATCCCCCAGCTCTGAGGTGTCTTCTGGGGAGCCATGGGCCAAGACTCTCTCCAACAAGGCTGCCTTGTCTGCCCTATCCCTGGTATGTGAACTCACCTCGATGAGTTTTACAATGTTCACATGGTCCAACTTCTTTAAGATGGCAATTTCCTGATAGACCCGATCCAGGGGTGCCAGGGGTACAGTCTGACCACCCATAGCAGCTTTAGAGCCTCGAGGAGGAGGGCGACCTACCAAGAGAGAAAAGGAACCCAGAGTCACGTGAGGGTTATGAGTGTTTGCTCAGGAAAGGCAGAAGCAGAGAAACCTGGGGACAGGATGCCCCCACCAAAGATTAACCTGACAGCAATACCTTCTGATGCCTCCCAGAGCTGCCACAGCCACTCCACCTGGCCCCAGCCTCTGCCCAAGGGACCCCCAAAGGGCCACCAAGGGGCCGCCCAGCCTCCATCCCACAGGGCCACCGAGGGGCTGCCCAGCCTCTGCCCCCTCCCCCCACCTCCCTTTGGCTGCTCTAAGTGTGGGGAAGTACGGTTCTTCTTTAGTCCTGTTAGGAAGGTTTCCTGGACATCTGGCCCCAGTCAGCCTCTCTGTGGTTCCCCATTGCTCCTGGTTCTTCCTCTGGGGCCAAGTCAGACAAGGCCAAGCACCGAGTGCCACACACACACACACACACACACACACACACACACACACACACACATGCTGGCCCTTCAGATGCATGAAGACAGTGCCCCATTCCCCCTGAGCCTTCTCTTCTCCCAGCTCCCCTCCCCACTACATGCCCCCCTCTCTCTTGCTCTTCCCTAAGGGATCCCCTCCTCCATCTTGTTCTTATGTTCTTTCAGTGAGGGTCTACCTGGGCCTAGGGCACCCCAGGGCCAGAGGCTGAACCTTATATTTCTTTGTAAATCCCCTCCACCCAGGGACCGTGAGGCTGGGCACGCAGCGATCATGTCAGGAAAATGGAGTTATGGGGTGAGCTGATCTGTGCCTTGGGTGGGCACTGAAAACAGAGGCGAGGCAGATGGGCCACCAGGCAGGGCCATCTAGCCCAGATTCTCAGACCTTCCCAGCTTCCCTTCCATCACCAGGACAGACAGGGTAGGAGAGCGCTGAAGGTGTCACTGATCAAACCCTAGACAATCCCTTTCTTGGAGGCCTTTTGGGAGGTGACAAAGGGGATGGCAGAGGAACCCCTGAGCTTCCCTTCCCCAGGACAGACATGAGCCAGGGAGCTTTGGGGGTGGAGGGATCCAGGAGTCTGGGGTGGGCCCCAGGGACCCTGGGAGCTGCAGTGAGGCTCCCTCCCCCACAGAATTGAAGATGGGGCGTGTGCTGGGTCTGGAAGAATGGGAAGAGAACACTCCTCGGCTGACTTCCTAGCAGGGGTAGGTGGAGGGTGAAGGCTCTGGCCCCTGTTCTCAGACAAGATCCTGGGCTGGGGCCAGGTCCCCAGGTCCCAGCCCTGAACCTCTCCTCTCCCCCACTCCATCTCCCTACTTTCCCAGAGATACAAGGAAAGGTCCCAGTTCCTTGGGTGTGGCCCAGGTTTTTTTGGGGGGGGAACAAAAGGAGGAACTATCTTTGTGAAGCTCTGTGCCGGGGACAAGGAGGGAAGGTGAGGCAGAAGGCAGCCCAAAGGGCTGGATGGGGCGGGGGGGAGGCGGGCTGAGGCCAGTTGGTGAGGGCCAGTAGCTGGCAGACCAGACGACAAAGTTTGGCTTTGACTTGGTGGACAGTGCACCATCACAGGGGGCTTTTAAGTCATGGCATGAACACAGTGTTTGAAGGCCTTCCCGGACCCAGGGGGTCCCCTCCTCTCACAATTTACAACAGGCTGTGGGAGACTGCACTGTGATATCCCTCCTCCAGGGTTGGGGCATCACAGATCTTGTGGGGTCTCTAATCACCCTTTATTGGGGGCTTGAAGGCATCACCCTGAGAAGTGAGATGATGGGGAGGGCAAGGTGTCACAGGAAGAGGGGACCAGGAGAAGGTGAAGGGCTGGGTGGCCCTTTTGGAGAAGATCCCGGAACTGTTGGCTCAGTCCTGAGCACGGGCCAGGCAGCTTGGAAACCATTAGATGACTGTCTCCCCCTGCCCCCAACCTTGGCTCACCCACCTGCCCAGACATCTGCTGTGGCAGGGCCCAAAGGGGAAGGGCAGGAGAAGCCAGCTCTAACTGCTCATGTCAGACTTCAGGGAGAGCCCCAAATAGCTGGGTTTCTCTGGACTGGGGTGGGATCCAAAGCATCTCTCAGGAAGTATCCTAGACTATGGCCAGAAGGCTTCACTCCTCCTCCATGTTATCACCCCTATTTCAGAGAGGAGGAAACAGGTTCAGAGGAGTTGAATGATCTGCTCAGAGTCACACAGCTAGTATGGAACAGACCTGAATTCAGGCCCTTAGCCTGAGTCCAGAGCTCTTTTGATTACACCATGATGCTTTTCTAGGGGGTTTAAAACCCCAAATCAGCCTTGTGCCTTCTGCCTGGGTCCTGTACTAGGAACTCCCTAGAGAAGCCACCCAGAGTGCTGGAGGCTTGGTGCTGTGGGGGGCCTCACTGTGGTCTGTTGGTGTTGGGGGGGCCTCACTGTGGTCTGTTGGTGCTGGGGGGCTTCACTGTGGCCTGTTGGGGGGGGGCTCACTGCAGTCTGTTGGTGCTGGGGGGCCTCACTGTGGCCTGCTGGTGCTGGGGGCCTCACTGTGGCCTGTTGGGGGGCCTCACTGTGGCCTGCTGGGGGGCCTCACTGTAGCCTGCACCTCTTTCCTGGCTGTGCCTCTCCTAGGGGGCCCTCCTGTACCTCTTTTCCCCATGCCACACTGGGGAGCTGCTGCCGCCTCTGCAGCACTCGTGGGCATCCTGTCCAGGGCCCTGGTGTTCTGGGATCTAGCTGGACAGCATCCCTGAGACACAACTTTGGGGGGAAGGCCAGTAAAATTTCTGGGATCACCGAAAGCAAAGAGAGCAGCTATGGCCGTTCTACCCTGTGAAATCCTCCAGGTCTGCCTCCTCCTGGCAGCCTTCCCAGACTGCCCCCAGTGTCCTCCTAGAACTCCAGGAGCTGCATTCAGAGCTGGTCGGGCAGCTCACTGGCCAGCTGGCTCAGCTCCCTCTGTTTGCAGAGCAGGAAACTTGGGCCCAGGGAGAAGTGACTTTCTCAAGGTCACAAAGTCAAGAAGCACCAGAGTCAGGGTTTGAACCCAGGTCCTAATGTACCACTGGTTCTCCTCAACCCCTGGGGCCCTTCCTGCCAGTCTCAATCACTGGACACTCCCAGGCCTCCTTGTGTTGTGAAACGACCCAGGAGCCAAGCCTGGAATTATCGGGGACCCCTTATCTCTGACATTTTACATCATCCAGCCTCTGCTGAGCAACCCACAGGGACGGGGAGCTCATTACCTCCCGTGGCAGCCCATCCCCCTTTCTCCAGGAAACTGGATCCCAGGAGGGAATCCTCTAGTCACTGACCACTTGCTGTGCTCCAGCCTGGGCTAGGCCTTGTGGGAGACACAAGAGAAGAAGACAATAACAGAGTCCCTGCCCACAAGCTGCTCATTGTCCAGTGAGGATGTTGCACGAACCTGCGCCCCCCCCCCCGAAAACCCCATGATACCGAGAGGACGGCAGGCCTGAAGCCTGGCCCAGCTGGCCCAGACTTTGTCAGCAAATGTTTCCTGAGGGCCTGCAGGGAGCAGAACTCAGGCCAGAGAGGAGGGGAACGAGAGGCCGGGGACCAGACCAGCTTTGCTCAGCTCCCCAATCCTCCAGGACATGGGGCCCCCGAAGGATTCCCACAGGCAGGACCTGCCTGAGAAGGTTAATGGAGTTGTAGTTCTGGGGCGTCCCCATGGAGGCTACCTACGTGGGAATCCGTATTGCTTTAGTAGCTTCTTTTTGGACAGGACTTTCATGGCCTGGGGGATGAGAGAAGCAGGGGGTTAGTGTCACATCCTGCCCAGGAACATGCCCCGTGTGTAGTCCAGCATCTCCCCCATCCCCCCACACCCAGGGAGAGCTGCCCTGGACAGTCACAAGTGCATCAGAACTCGAGTTTGAGTCAATGAAATAAGCTTTTGTTAAGTTCCTACTGTGTGCTAGGCACTGGGGATAAAATGCCCAAACTGAAGCCGCCTCTGGCCTGCCCTGAGGGAGCTTCCGTGGTACTAGAAGGAAAGGCTGAGCCTTGACCATCAGAAAGGTCCTTAGGCCTCCTTGCTGGAGGCTGACTGGAGGCGGCACTAAGTCAGGGCTCAGCAGCCCCCAGGTCAAGGGGGCCTGGAGGGGTATGTGTGTGTGTGGGGCCATAGCCAGGGGGCAGTGCTGGGGGGCTGGGAGGGGTTTGTGTGTGGGGGGGCATCTAGCTGAAAGCTGATGGAGCACAGGACATCAGCAGGGATAATGTGATTGAAAAGGAAAGTGAGCTGGTCACAGAAGCAGGGAGAGGACTGACAGACAACTCCTGCGGATGTCTGGCAGATGTGAGGGGTGGCCCCCAGCACAGTAGGTGGATCCTATGGAGTGCACTTCTAAGAGGGCAAGAACGGGCAGCAATGTGCTGCGCGCGCCCCCCCCCCCAGCTCTGCTGGAGTATTTGAGGAAGGCAGCACGTGGCCCATCTCTCCGACTGACCCATCACCCCCCACTGTCGGGAGGCTGCATTAATGCCAGCAACCCCAGAGAGGAAGCTGCCGCCTGAGCATGGAGCAGAGCTGTGGCTGCAGATGAAGGGGCCGTGGGGCTCATGGTCCTCTGCCACGGAGCTGAGTTGATCTGGATGTTCAGAGCTACTGAACCTTCAGCAGCAGGGCGGCCGGTTCTGATCTCAGCACCTTGGAGAGCAGCCGGGGGCAGAGCCACGTGACTGTGGGTCCAGAGGAAAGCTTCTCCCCAGCCAAGCTGCCTCAGGCTAAGCAGGGAACACTCCAGCCCTGTGAGCCACCTCATCGAAACTGCGAGGGTCTAAGAGCCCTTATGGAAAACATGGCCCAAGGGTGCATCCAGCCCCTGCCTTCAGACCCCCAAGCAACCAGCCCAAGCCACTGTGGGAGAACTCTAGTCTGCCCTCTGAAGCTGCCACCACTGCCCTGGGGCACCTGCCAGCCATCATCCCAACATGCCCAGTTCCTTCAACTGGGATCTTGAGGCCCTTCCCTCTCCTAATTCCTTCGTCTAGACACTCCCCAGCTCATCAATGCCCTCCCTAAAACGTGACAGCCAGAACTGAGTACCAGATGTCCACTGTGACCTGAGGGGCAGCAGACAGAGGGACCATCCCCTCCTCATTCCTGGAAGCTCTCTCTCCATCCCTCTTTCTGCCTCTGTCTGTCTCTCTCTCTCCCCCCTCTCTGTCTCTTTCTTCCTTCTGGCTCTGGCTCTCCCTCCCCCTCACTCATTGCAGCTGAAGGTTTCATGAGCGTGTGTGTTGGCACACTCCCTTCTTGATCTCTTGGTCCACAAGAACTCTCCTTGTTTGAAGTGCTGTCCAGCCACGCCTCTCTCTTGGCCAGCCTGTACACTTGATATTGGCCATGAACACAAGTGGACCATGAAAGTGGCTTCTTTTCCAGGAGATCTCAACATTCATCCCAAAGTGGGGGTGATCACTCTTCTTATCGCCCTCAGTTGACTCATAGCCCATAGGGCTGGTCTTGACCATGGATGGGTAGGGGGAACCCACACAGCATGATTTCAGGGGTCTCTGTCTCCCAAACTCTCTAAATTCTGATGACCAGAGCAGAGTGCTCCCCTCTGCTCCTCAGGGAGAGATCAGGTTTAAAGTGCTGCTCCCCACTCCCTGGCCTCCCCTGAATGTGCTCACTTCTCACTGGGCTTCATGCCAGGTCCATAGGATGGCCCTGCAGTGACTAACATGGGTCACCCTAGGCACAGATGGCCCAACCACTTGCCAAGAAACTGGGATTACCCACTGGACCAGCCTGCTGAGAATAGCTGTGAAATCTCCTTCCTTGTCAGGAAGAAGCCAGGGCACCCAGACTGGGGACAGGGACACAGCCATGTAACCGGAGGCACCTGCCAAATCCACACCTGTCATTCTTTCACTGAGCCTTCTCTTGGGGACAAAGAATAAGGAGGAGGAGATGCACTCCAAGTCCCCCATCATCTGTAGCCTTTAAATCCCACCCTCCATTTGTGCCCAGTCCTGAAAGGTCGCTTTGCCCCTTAGCTCACCTTCCTGCTCCCAGATGGCATTGTACCACTGCCAAGCTCAGGAGCCAAGGGGGCTCCCATCACCTCCCAACAGCCCCCAACACCTGGTCTTGGCTTGGAAGAGTTCCTAGCACAGTGCCTGGCACATGGGAGGCATTTTCTTTTCTAAATGATTATGCATTGTTTGAGCAAACCTTCCCTCCACAGGCTGGGCAAATTCTCCTTTGCAATCTTCACTGTGCCTGCACTAGACTGGCACTGATGGAGCCACCTAGTCCTGAGCATGGCAGCCCTATTCCCCCACATGTTTCCCTAGCCCAGGCCTCTTGGGATCTTGTTTAGAGATGGTAAATTTGCACAGCTATTCCCTGGGAGGTCTGGGAGGGCATCACCTGGGCTGGGGCAGGAGCGTGGTTCTCCTTTCCTGATCATCATAAATAATCTGGCAGGGCCCTCAGAGGGTGCCAGTCCAGGCTGTGCCAGTGAGGAATCCTCATACTGACAACCCCAAAAGGCAATAGGGAAGAAGGCCGCCTATCAACTCTCATTGCCCCCTGGCGTGGAAGGGGCTGCCTCCAGAGGCAGAGGGGGATTCCTGCCAAGGATGGTTGGACCAGACCCCTCCCGCTCTGAGATCTCAGTCTCCAGGCAGGTCTTCTGATGAGGGGGAACAGCTCAGACCTGGCCTCTGCTGTTGACATCTGGCCCACCGAATGCAAACCCCTTGAGCCCAGGGACTGTTTCATTTATATCAGCACCCAGAGCAGGACCCAGCACACAGTTGTGCTTATCAGTGCTTGTGGAATTGAATCGACTGCTTCAGAAAAGGCTGGAGAGAAGCCTGAGGACTACGGCCCAAGGACTCTGCAGGACGGAAGGCTGGAGGATGGAAGGCTGGAGCACAGAAGCCCAGGCAACTGACTTTCTGGAGGGTCTCGCTTGGCATCCCATATCATTCCACAGGAGATTTCTGTTACCAGCCCAAGTTCCAGTGACATGTGGAGCTGTGGGAACTCGGCTTCCTGGGGTTTATCAATGAGGTGGGACCATCAGGTCACACACTTAGAGCAGAGATCCCCTCAGAGGGCACTGAGTGCCATCCTCTCTTACAGGAGAAGCAACTTGCTTGGTGTCCCCCAGGTGGTACGTCCTCGAGGCAAGATTTGAACCTAGCTCTCCTGACTCCACCCTGGCAAGAATGAAGATCCCACAGAGCTCCCCACCCCACCCCCATCCCCAAACGCACTCACATAATACTTGTCATCAGACTCATTGTAAGCCAGCCGCACCACACCGTAGGAGCCCTGCAGACACAGAAGGGACATCAGTCAGCTTCCTTTGTCCGTGGCCTCCTTGAATGGCCGGCAAGCCTGGCTTCTGCATCCCCTTCTTTCCTGGTGCAATGCTGGGGGTCCTTCCTCCAGCCCAGCCCAGCCCACCCAGAGAGCAGGACGAAAGCAGAGCAGAGCACACTCAGCCTCAACAGTCTTCCAGCATTCACGCGCACCTGTCTCTGGAGCCTCTCCAGATGTGACCAGCCCCAGTGGCTCTGTGCCTGCCCCTCCCCAAGCATCCTCTCCCACAGAGAGGCCTCTCTCCCTGAGCCCCACCCCACCCCAGGATGGCCCCAGGCTTCCCTCAGCTGAGATCAGCCCACCAGTGTTCTGGTGGATTCTGCCTGATTCAGAGGCTCCCATGATGTAGGGCTGGAAAGGGCAGCAATCAGGGCTAGACAGCTAAGCTGGGACCCTTCCAGAGCGCTCTAACCCATCCATGCCAACTGCCTTCTTTTACACCCACTGAGCACGGTGGAAAGAGGGCTAAATTGGGAGCCAGAAAGGCAATCGACTGACGGGCATTTATGAAACACCAACTAGATGCCAGGCCCTAGGCTAGGCATCATAGGTACAGGAACAAAAAGGACAAGGACTCTGCCAGCATTCTATCAGGGAACACTGTGTGTGTATGTGTGTGTGAATAAATACGATATAAACACAGTACAATATACAACATAAATACAAAATAAACCCAAGGTAGTTTCTGGGAATCAGAAAAAGCCTTGTGTAGGTGGCAGTGCTTGAACCGAATCTTGGAGGAAATCAGGGATTCTAAGGGGTGGAGGCAAGGAAGGAAGAGAGGGAGGGAGGAAGGAAGGGAGGAAGGAAGAGAGGGAGGGAGGAAGGAAGGAGGGGAAGGAGGGAGGAAGGAAGGAGGGGAAGGAGGGAGGAAGGAAGAGAGAGAGGGAGGAAGGAAGGAAGGGAGGAAGGGAGGAAGAAGGGAGGGACAAGTAGCTCCCATTTCTGGAACCTTAAGGTCTGCAGAGCACTTCTTGATTTAATCAGATCCTCACCGTCATGGTATAAAAGAGGTGGCTCCCTCCCCCTTTTGTCCAGGGGAGGGAACAGAGGTCAGAGAGTGCCCTGCCATTTAAGTGTTGTGGTGGGTTTGGGTCTCCTCTGATGCCCAGCCCAGCCCCTCATCTGCACTCCCCCTCTGCTCTCAGCCCAGTGCTCCCCAGCTTTGGCTCCAACCTCACGGCCCCCCAGCAGCAGCCAGGCTCCTATGGCCACAGAATTTCAGCCTCTCAGAGCTGACAAGCTGCCTGCACTCTTAGGCTAGCAGAGCCTCCCAACGCTCCTGAGCTGGAGGGACCTCTGGGGCCAGCTAGGCTAGTGCTCTATTTCACAGAGGGGGAGACTGAGGCCTAGAGAAGGGAAGCAGTGTGCCCAGGGTCCCCCAGGCAGTGAGGGGCTGCCTTCAGGGTCATGCAGAACAGCCTGCTGGGGATGCCCAGTAGGGCTTTCCCTGAGAAGGAGTAGTTAATTCTGCTCTCTCTGGCCAGGCTCTTATTTGTCATATTGTTTCCACTGGGAAATGTTCACGTAGATCAGCTCAGTGAGCTGTCCTGCCTCCCAGCCCAGTTAGACAAGAAGCCCTGGCCGCTCACCACCAGCACCATCCTGGTCCTCTGCCAGACCCTTTGCCCCTCGCTGGAGGGGAAGCATGAGCTGCCTCCAGAGATAGGAGGCCGGCTTGGGCCTGGGCGAGGGCAGAATCTGAGGCAGGACAGGACACTGCCAGCCTACCCACCTTTCCGATCTCACTCTGGAGTTTGTACTGGTTTAGCTGGACACAGTCCTGTGGGTGAGAGACAAAAGCAAAGAGTCAGGGTGGGGTCAGTCCAGCCTTGTGCCATCCTGCCCAGTTTGGGAGCACCCAGAAACTCGTGGGCTGCCCCAAGAGGCTCCAGATCTGGGAGCAGGGTGACCATCTCAGCCTTGGGGGAAGGCTCACTCAGCTAGGGCCAGGATGGGCATGGGGCAGCCTACTGGAGTGCCAGGCCTCCCGGGCAGATATTGCCAAAGGACACAGCTTCCCTGGCCACAGCTGGCCATCTGGGTGGTCAAGGACTCCCAGACCAGTATGGGCACAGCCTTGCCCCCCCACCCCAGATTCTAGCATATCTGTCTTGGCAGCAGGAACCATCCCAGGAACTGGTCAGGCAGCAATGCCAAATATCAGCAGCTGTCTGGAAATGGGTGCTAGGAGGTGGCCGCCGAGAGCGTTCATTACAAACGTCTGGTCCTCAGTCAGTAGGACCTGGGTTCAAGCCCTGCTTCAGACATGCCTAGTGCTTCACCTGCAGCATCAGGGTCGTGAGAGCCCCTCCCTCCCAGGGTGATATCATCTAAAGGGTTAGGGGTTTTGCAAAGCCCCTCGAGTGTTCCAGAAACACCGGCCAGGATTATGGTTGTTCTGAGGGCAGGGAACGATTTGTGTGCCCAGGGACTGGCATGGCCACCAGGTACTCCATCAATGGGGGCCTCATCAGTGGGGGCCCGACCAATGGGGCTTCATCAGTGGAGCGTGCACCCAGATCTGCCTCATCCACCTGGCCCCGGCATCTGCCTGGTCTCTTGAGACCTTGTGGCTTCAAACAGCTCTGATTCTGCAAAGATCCCAGCCTGCCTGCACTCCGGCAGAACACGGGAGACTCTGGGGAAGCGAGGACAACACCTCCCTCTGACAGACCGGCCACGGGGCCGGCTGCTGGCTATGACCTACTGGGGCTGACGATGGTCTTTGAGCCCCAGCCCCTCCCTCCCAAGGGCCAGAAGGAGGAGCACCAGGCTCCCTAAGCCAACCCCAAGGGTCAAGAGCCTGAGTCGAGTTTTTGGCTCTGCAGACCCCCTGTGTGCCCTGTGCTCTGACTTTTCCTGTCTAGGGAGCCATGAGGCTCTCTCTGTCTGGGCTTGGGTGGGCTGTCCCTCCCTTACCTGGTCAGAATTGCTAGGGCTGGTCAGACAAAGGGTGGGCAAAGTTGCATTGTAGAACTCCATGAGGCCTCAGGGCAGGGGCTAGAGTGGAGCCAGGCTGGACAGTGGCCTTGGCATTCCTGGGGCAGTGTTACCTCCTCTTCCAAGCCATCTCCCCTGCCCTCTTGCAAACCGGCCCTGGAGGGGAGGGGTGTGGGGCGATGCCCAACAAAGGGCTGGGACCGAGTGCTCTCTGGGTCCTGTGACCCCTTTCCTCAGCACTGACTACGACCCCTACTCCTGTCCCCCCATGGCCTCACCCACCTCCACATCTGAGATGGACACTCGGTTGGATTCGATGGTGGGCCGGCGTACGATGCAGGGTGAGATGTGGTTGGCAGGCCCTGTGGCATAGGGCCCGCTCCCAGAGGGGCCAGCAGCAGACAGACAGCTTCTGCTTGATTTTTCCTGGAGGGAGAGCTTCCTGTTGGACAGGGAAGGCTGGACAGGGACGTATGTGGGGTCCTTCTGGGGATGGGCATCTCTCGTGGTCAGGGAGGGGGCCGATGGGATTCTCTCTCTGGCTTCAGGGGGACCGCTGCTTGTCGGGCAGTCTCGGCTGTGGCCGTCCCCAGAGAAGACCATGCAGTCGTCCCCCTCGCCTGCTCCCCCCAGTTCGGCCACATCAATGGTGGCAACTCTTTCCACCAGTTCTGTGCAGGGGTCTTGGCAGCACAGCGCTGGGGCTCCTTCCATGGCAGAGACGAAGGCCAGTTTCATGCGCCGACGTGGCCTGGGCCTTGGTCCAGCAGGAACAGCCAACCACCCTGGGAAGAGAGGACATGGAAAGAGGCAATGAGCATGATACCATGGGCCACAGGGTTCGGGACTTGAAGGGCCTGAGGATTTGAACCCAGGTCTTCAGACTCCAAATGCTGCAATTTTTTTGTTTTAGCTTTTTTTTTTTTTGGTGAGGCAATTGGGGTTAAGTGACTTGCCCACGGTCACACAGCAAGTTAAGTGTCAAGTGTCTGAAACCAGATTTGAACTCAGGTTTTCCTGACTCCAAGGCTGGAGCTCTATCCACTATGCCACCTAGCTGCCCCAGCACTTTTTTATCACTGCTGCACCATGGCAGCACTGCTCCTTACTCCCTGTGTGGCCTTGAGCAAGTCCTTTGCCCCCTCGGGCCTCATCTTCCTTGTCTGCAAAACCAGTTCTTGGTCAGAGTGAGCCCTGGGTTCCTTCTTGTCCTAGCCCCACCTTCCAGCATCATCTGCTCTGGCAGGGTGGCCCCACACACTCTCAGCTCGAGGGGAAAGGGCCTGAGCAGAGCTCCTGGAAAGGATGCCAGACGGTGCAAGAAGGTGACGCTGAAGAAGCCGGGCCAGCAGCTAGGCTGCCTGTGTCGGCGTGGTTTGGGAGGGCGCTGGGCCGGCTCCTGGCCCCTCCTGGAGGCCAGGCACAGGCCAGCCTGCAACCGAGGAGCTCAAAGCTTTCTGCCAAGTTCTTTCCCCTGGGGGCAGCTAGGTGGCGCAGTGAATAGAGCACCAGCCCTGGAGTCAGCAGGACCTGAGTTCAAATTCGGCCTCAGTTACATAACACTCACTAGCTGCTTGACCATGAGCAAGTCACTTAACCCCATTGTCTAGCCAAAAAAAAAAAAAAACCCAGAAAAAACAAGTTCTCTCCCCTGTCCTGACTCTGCAGAATGTCTCCAGAGAACCACAGCTCACCAGGATGCAGACACAGGCCTACCCTGTCTCACCAAGTTGTAGTTAAATTTTTTAAAATTTTAATTTATATATTTTTAGTTTTCAACAATCGCTTCCATACACTTTTGAGTTTTAAATTTTTTCCCCCTTCCTCCCCACTTCCCTCCCCAAGACAGCAAGCAATTTGATACAGGCTGTACATATACATTCCTATTAAACATATTTTCACATTGGTGATGTTGTAAGGAAGAATTAGAATCAATAGGAGGAACCAGCAGAAAGAGGAAACAGAACACAGCAGAAGAAAAAAATAGCAAATAGTCTGCTTCGATCTGCATTCAGACTCCATAGTTCTTTCTCTGGATATGGAAGGCATTTTCCATCATGAGGCCTTTGGAGATGTCTTAGATTACCAAGTTGTAAGTAAGAAAGCTCCCCACAGTGCAGCATCCTCTGAGGGGCAGGAGGCAGGAGGCGCCGAGCCCCCGGTGCTCCAAGATGGCAGAGTCTTCAAAGGGCACCAGGTCCAGCACAAGGCACGACCCAACAAGTGACCTCGCTAGGGTGCATCTGAAAAGTGGGTGGCCAGCGTCTGCTCAAAGGCCTCTCTACCTCCCCAGGCAGCCTACCCCACTTAGAGCTAAACTGTGTTTGCGCCTATAGGTACACACCTGACCTAAGGTGAGCTCTGAACACAGGAACGATGTTTCCTCGTCTTTGTATCTCCAGGCCCTAGTACAGAGCTGGGGCACACAGTAGGAGCTCGCTGAGTGATCTTCCTCACCTGTTGGAGAATCTTTACTATTATTCATCCTTTTGGTATTTCTATTATTATTATTATTATTATCAATCCTTTATCATTACTCCTCCTCATTCCTAAAAGGCAGGAAGGACCGGTAGGAAAGTCATGTTCATTTTTACGTATGGTGAAAACTGAGACCCAGAGGAAGTAAGCAAAGGCCTGTCCCCAAGCTTGTGGCCAGCAGCGGTGGAAGCTGGCCCGCAGGGCAGTTCCATGTCCTGAACCCGGCCTGTGGGCCTGGCCACATGAAGGTTCCCAGGAGACAGGGCAGAGCTCCCATTCTCTCCTCCCCGCCCCACACACTGACAGAGAAGACAAGCCCCAAAAGGTCCGATGTTCCTGGTGGAGGACTTGGTCCCCTTAGGCCGCTGACTCTTTCTCCTCTTCCCCATACTGATTCATTGCATAACTGAGAAGCCTCCCTGAACAGCAGCTTGGACCCAGAAAGGCCAGAGCAGGCAAATGGGAGCCTCAAGGGTCATGAGCTCCCTGTTGCTGGGTTCCTTGAAGTCAGGACTCCTTGTCGGGGAAGAGGTTGCAGAAGTGGGCTGGTTATGGAGCCAGTGAACCTGGGTTATGGCACCATCTATCTGTTGGCAACCTTACAGAGGCATCTCTCAGGGTCTCAGACCAGAGGACCTTTGACCTTCCTTTCATCTGCAGTCCTCTGGGCTCTGGGAGAAGCAGGGGGCTTCTCCAACAGCTGCCCAGGGGCCCTGGGGGCCTCTTGGGTCCCTTCAAGTCTCAGAGCTGGGGAGCCTAGGACGCATTATCTGTCTCTGGGCCGCCATTCTCACAGTGGAGTGACCAGGGCAGAAGAGACCGCCTGGACCTTCATCCTACCCACTCCCATGCCTCTCATCTGGGCCACTCCAACGCTTCCTGAAACTGAGGGAGATGTGCCCCCCCCAGCTCTTAAGGCACTGTCCCCTCCTTTAGGGCTTATGTCAGCCACCCTCTGCCAAATGACCTGCATCCCACAGTGTGTCTTCAGTCTGTATGTGCTCATGCGTGCCCTCATCCTCCCCATTCAAATGGCGGCTCCGAGAGTCAATGAGCCACCACTGAGCACAGTATGACATGGAGTAGGTGCCTTATGAAATGCTCATTGACTGGCACAGAGTAGGTGCTTAAAAAATGCCAACTGATTATAGGAAAATGCAGGCAGTCTAACATGGACCCTAGACTTTAGGAGGAGATGTGAAAGAATTAAAAGATTAGTAAAATCAAGCAATTATTAACTAAATCCTAGCTAGGGGCCAGGACTGTGCACACAAAGATGAAAATCAGCTCCCTGCCCTCCAGGGCACTAGAACTTACATTCTAGAGAGGGAGACAACATGGTATGGAAAGGCATGTGCAGACTGGATGAACAAAGAAATAAAACAATGCAATAGATGCAGTGTGTTTGGGGGAGAGGAGGGCCCAGGATCTGGCTGGGAAGGATGAAGAAAGGCTTCAAATAGAAGACGGCTCTTGAGCTGAATCTTAGAGGAAATCAGGAATTCTAAGAGATGTTGGTGAGGAGGGAGGGCATCACAGTCATGGGAGGCACCAGTACAAAGGCACCGAGGTGAGAGATGGGGACGTCAAGGATGCAGAAGAACACATGGATCAATATGGCCAGACTAGGAAGTGTATGGAAGAAAGTAAGGGTGTAGTAAGTCTGTAGTATGAAAGGCCTGGTTTATGAAAAGGTGGAAAATCTCATAGCTTGACTCTGCAGCTCTGCAGGTCTGAGAGACACACGAGACAATTCTGGTAGGAACCAGAAGGGGGAGCCATCTTACACAAGACAGATGTGGCTGCACAGGGAGCTCTTGGGGGCTGAACAGATTTTTTTTTTAAAGGAAGTAGAGAATATGAAAGCAAGGATGAGTGCCCGCTGGTAGGCATGGTAACTAGAAGGTGAAAGTCCAGAGGTGGCTGAGATCTGTGATAAAATCCCAGGACAATAGAATGGTGGGCTTGGGGTCATTGTTCAGTTCTGTTGATAGCAAGATGGTCCCAGGTGAAGTAGGAGCCTCTTGTGTTCACTCTGTGGACCGATCCCACCCAGCTCTAAGATTCTGTGACAAAATGGACCCACATGATGCAACCAGAAGTGCTGGAAGATTCAATCTGGACTGACTGCTTGGTCCCATTCACAATTTCTCTCTTTGTCTGTCTCTGTGACACTGTCTTCTCTCAGTCTCTGTCTCTCTGTCTTACTGTCTCTTTCAGTCCGTCTCTCACTGTCTCTCTTTCTCTGTCTCTCACTGTCTCTCTTTCTCTGTCTCTCACTGTCTTCTCTCTGTCTCTGTCTCTTTGTCTCACTGTCTCTCAGTCTTCTCTCAGTCTGTCTCTGTCTCTCATTGTCTCACTGTCTCTTTCAGTCTGTCTCTCACTGTCTCTGTCTGTCTCTCAGTTTTCTTTCAGTCTGTCTCTGTCTCTATCTCCCTGTCTCTCTCTGTCTCTCACTGTCTCTCTTTCTCTGTCTCTGTCTCTCAGTCTTCTCTCAGTCTGTCTTTGTCTTTCACTGTCTCTCTCAGTCTCTCACTGTCTTCTCTCTCTCTGTCTCTCTGTCTCACTGTCTCTCAGTCTTCTCTTAGTCTGTCTCTGTCTCTCATTATCTCACTGTCTCTCTCTGTCTCTCACTGTCTCTCTTTCTCTATCTCTGTCTTTCAGCCTTCTCTCAATCTGTCTCTGTCTCTCATTGTCTCACTCTCTTTCAGTTTGTCTCTCACTGTCTCTTTCTCTGTCTCTCATTGCCTTCTCTCTGTCTCTGTCTCTCACTCTCTTCTCTCTGTCTCTGTCTCTCACTGTCTCTGTCTGCCTCTCAGTCTTCTCTCAGTCTGTCTCTGTCTCTCACTATCTCACTGTCTCTCTTTCTCTATCTCTGACTCTCAGTCTTCTCTCAGTCTGTCTCTGTCTCTCTCACTATCTCTCCCCTTGAGAAGTCCATGTGCCTGGGCTTAGGGCATACAGATGTTGGCTGTGATTTAGGGTCATTCTCCCTGCAGGAAGGCTTGTGCCTGACATGCTTAGGATGATTGTGTGAAGGATTTCTTATTTTGTGAGGCAGAAGTCATTAGGGTCGATTTCGGTGCTGCTGAGTTAATGATTCGCATGCTTTCAAGGCGCTTATTGCTAGCCCGGTCTGGCCCTTATGTAGCTACACATTTCCCTGCAGACAGTCATCTGATGATCCTGATGACAAACCTCTCTCTCTAGAGCAAAGCCCTGCAGTCTCATGTGGGTTCCCAAGATCCCAAGAGACTGGGGTTCCACAGACTCCCTCTCTGGTGCAGCGGGAGTTCCCCTCTGCCACCATCCATCCCTCCGCCTTAGCAGAAGTAGGCAGGTCAGTGGGGGATGCCAGGCTCTACACTTGCAGGAAGGAGATAGCAGAATGCCAGGCAACCTAACACATGCCCTAGATTTTAGGGGAGAGGATATAAAGGATGAAGTGCTCACTGTGCTAGGCACTGTGGTGACAAAAATGAACACTGCCTTCAAAGCAGTTCTAACAGGAGACCAGCATGGTGGCTCACGCTCTAGTGGGAGAGGCTGCCTCACTCAGACATGGCATCATACAGAGGAGAACGGTGCAATGGATAGGTCTGGGGGTGAAGGGGGCTCTTACCAAGCTGGGGTGAGTCCCTAGAAAGAATGTCCCCGTCCACATCCTATCTGTCCTTGGAGCCTGTCAGCTCCCTGATGGCACAGATGTGTCCTGTCTCTGACCTGGCCAAGGGCCCATTGGGCACCTTGTGGACCCCCAGGATCTCCCCATCCCCGGGGGACTGACAAGACAGGAGGAGACTGGCTGGATAGAGTCGTTAAGGAAACTGAGTCCTAGGGACTTGGCCAAGGTCACACAGTCGACTGCGTAAGAAGGGTCCCTGGCATTAACGCTGAGGTGGCCGAGGATGATGGCCAGAAGGGGGAGTGGAGACACAGGTCTATTCATCTTCATCCCTCCCACCCCCCATCCCCCGCAGTCCTTCATAAAGTGACTCAAACACAAAAGCTCTAATGTTTGCTGACTCAGCTGCTGATGAATGGACCTCTAATGCCATCCCTGTCCTTCCCCATCACCTTCAGGATAAAGTCTAAACCTCTCATCCTGGCATTCAAGGCCTTCCAGGATAGACTCATCCTGGACTGCCCCCAAGGGCGAAACTGGGATTAATGGGGGAGATTCTGAGAGCCCAGTGTGGGCTGGAAAGCAGGAGGGCTCGTCTTGTCAGGGCACAGGCGGGCGGCTGCCTGATGGAGGAATGTTCTCCCAGCAAGCACAGAGCCTTATGAGGGCTATGGGAGAGGGGCTCCCCTTTGGGTGGGAGCTGAGCTCTCTTCTTCTCAGACTCCTCCCAACTCCAGACTGCTGTGATCCTTCCTCCCCACTGACTCAGCCTTCAGCCACATCGAGTGGCTCACAGCTCCCCGAATACACCCTGTGGTTTTTGCCTGGGCGTCTTTGCCCATGCAGTCCTGCTCCTCAGTATGCCCCTGCCTCTTGCCAACCCAAATCCTGCTCTTGCTCCCAGGCAAGCTCGAAGCCCTCCGGCCTCATCACTGTGGGCTGCCCAATTCTGGAGGACAGGTTCTGGGCCAGCCTCCCACCAGCCTGGAATCCCAGAAACCAGACAGCCTTCCTCTGGGTGAGAGGAGGACCATTGAGGGGAGAGCCCACAGCCCATGTGAAAAGCCCAGTCTGGGGAGACCAGGGCTCTGGCCACTGCCCGCTCACTTTCTCTGACTGCCTCAGCTCCGAAAGGCCCAGTCATCTCTGCAAGGATTCACTGAGTGCTCCCAGGTGAAGGGCCTGACAAATCAGCAGGAGAGTCCAGTCTAATGGGCGGGGACAAACACAAGCAGAGGGAGACTGGGCGGAGGGCAAGGCGAGGGCTGGAATCCTGCCCTAAGACAGATGTAGGAGGTAGAAGGGAGCTCTGCGGCCGCGGCATTTCACTCACACACCAAAGGAATCCCCCCAA